TTCCCATCACAGTGGCTCCTTTATGTGTCTTTTCTTAAATTGCTAGTAATTGTGGACAATGTAGACAAGAAAGCAGAAGAACATGGAAGTCCTGCTTTTGCCTCTTTTCAGCCACTGGATTTTCTCTGTGTGAAATGGATGCAATAAAGCCATTTTCCATGAGTATTTTGAGAGTTAAATGAGAATAGAACTTATGAACTACTCTGTGAATCCTGTGAGTTAATAGCTCATGGAGTCTTCTTGCTGGGTTGGGATGCAACAATTTATATGTTTGAAATCAACTGTCTCCTTTTCCCTCATGTTCTTGTCTTTGTAGCTGTTTTTTCTCTTTACTTGAGTTAGGAAGAGACTGTTAATGATTCCTGTTAAAGTCCTTAAGGTCACTTTGGAATGAGCTGGACATGGTCATGCTTCCTTTTAATCTGTGTTTTCCATGTGACCAAGAACTCTTTGTTTACTGACAATAAACCACATACTATTCTGCACCTAAAATGTGGCTTACTAATGTCAAAAGTTACTGCAGCAATGAGTTATTTCCATCTGTGGAGAAATTTTTTTCCCTTAGGTCTGTTTGTCAAGGCAACAGCTGAAGCTGTGATTGATTACATGTACCCCAGAAAATTAAGCTGTATAAAATTAGAAATAGCCACTGCTTTATGCTAAGAGTATTTCTCTCAGGGGCTTTCACTGTTCTGTTACTGCAAACATGCTTTGGCAGAGTTAGCAAGTGTCTGCACCAATAAACACATTAAATAAAATTTTTGTTAAATAAAAGATTCTGTGAATGAGGGCTAAATAATGAAGAAAAATCTGAAATTTTGCTGAGAGGATGGCCTTATTTCTGATGGTTGTTTAAGTTATCTCAACTTGTTTCAAACAAAAAGATAATTTATCTATTGTCTTTAGAAAATGAACTTTCTGAAACAGCAAGCCCTGCAAAAGGAGATGATGGGTTTACTGAAGACCCTGTACATGATCTAAATGTCCACATCATGTGACCCTTATAATCTAGTCACATCCCTTTTTTTCTCTCTTATATGACTGACCCCAAGGACAATGCTAAGTGCCACCCCGGGTCACTAGACTGGCCTGTGATTGGTCCCATAGGAAGTGTAAATATGTCATGTAGATGATCAGTAGCAGCATCTTTTTTGATGCTCAGGTTAGAAATCCAGGAGTCAGAAATTTAGAAATCCATGACTTCTGTTTCATTATTCATGCTCAACCAGCCATAATGTCCATCCATTCTGTACTTGATCCTTGAAGAATGTGAGAGTAAATCCAAGTATGATTTATAGTAGGTTGTTTTTGTCTCCAGTTCCTCCACATCCTCTGACCACAGACTATATAGTGCTGTAGTATTTACTATTGAAAAATGTCCACATATAACTGGACCCACACAGGTAGGGAAAAAGCAAGCCAAGCAATCATCTTTTCCTGAGTTCAGATCTTGACTCTTCCACATACTGGCTGCATGACCCTGGGCAAGTTTTTTTAACTTCTGCAAGCTTTATTTCTTTATTTGTATAATGAGCTTTAACAATACTACCTAGCTCATACGATTTCATAAGGATCAATGAGATGATCTGTGAAAAGCACTCAGAAAATGGTGCACACTCAGTAGATGTCAGTTGCTAATATGTCCGTCTACTCACAATTAGAGCATAAAGGTCTATAATCAGTTGTCACCATCCAACGTGACATCTACTGCATTATAGCTGTTGACTTTGCTGCCTGTCTTTTCCACACAATTGTGAGCTCCTAGTGAGTAGGCATAGTGTCATTTTATCCCCAGCTTCTGAAACAGTGCCAAACACATGGTAGGGTAACAGAATTGAAAGAGACAAGTGTACCCCAGTGTTTATCGCAGCACTGTTTACAATAGCCAGGACATGGAAGCAACCTAGATGTCCATCAGCAGATGAATGGATAAGAAAGCTGTGGTGCATATACACAATGGAATATTACTCAGCTATTAAAAAGAATGCATTTGAATCAGTTCTAATGAGGTGGATGAAACTGGAGCCTATTATACAGAGCAAAGTAAGTCAGAAAGAAAAATACCAATACAGTATATTAACACATATATATGGAATTTAGAAAGATGGTAACAATGACCCTATATGTGAGACAGCAAAAGAGACACAGATGTAAAGAACAGATTGTTAGACTCTGTGGGAGAAGGCGAGGGTGGGATGATTTGAGAGAATAGCATTGAAACATGTATATTAACATACGTGAAATAGATTGCCAGTCCAGGTTTGATACATGAGGCAGGGTGCTCAGGGCTGTTGCACTGGGATGACCCTGAGAGATGGGATAGGGAGGGAGGTAGGAGGGAGGGTCAGGATGGGGAATACATGTACACCCATGGCTGATTCATGTGAATGTATGGCAAAACCACTACAATATTGTAAAGTAATTAGCCTCCAATAAAAATAAAAATAAATAAGTAAAATTAAAAAATAAATAAATAAATAAAGATGAGTAAGACAATATCCATGTCTCGAGAAATTCTTAGTCCAAGACATCAGGAAAACATCATATTATCATTGTAATAAAATTAGTTTTTTAACCTAAGTAAAAAATAAGGAAATATTTGGTGAATGAATAAATGACTTAATGTCTACCTAAAGTTCAGTTGTCTGGCTCTAGGTAAGTGATCGCACCATCATGCTTATCTGAGTCATTAAGATCTTTTTGTATAGTTTTTCCGTGTATCACTCACCTAGAGCCAGACATCCTGGAATGTGAAGTCAAGTGGGCCTTAGGAAGCATCACTGCAAACAAAGCTAGTAGAGGTGATGGAATTCCAGTTGAGCTATTTCAAATCCTAAAAGATGATGCTGTTAAGGTGTTACGCTCAATATGCCAGCAAATTTGGAAAACCCAACAAAGGTCACAGGATGGGAAAACATCAGTTTTCATTCCAATCCCAAAGAAAGGCAATGCCAAATAATGTTCAAACTACTGCACAATTGCACTCATCTCACACACTAGCAGAGTAATGCTCAAAATTGTCCAAGTTAGGCTTCAACAGTACATGAATCAAGAAGTTCCAGATGTTCAAGCTGGTTTTAGAAAAGGCAGAGGAACCAGAGATCAAATTGCCAACATCCATTAGATCATAGAAAAAGCAAGAGAGTTCCAGAAAAACATCTACTTCTGCTTTATTGACTACGCCAAAGCCTTTGACTGTGTGGATCACAACAAACTGTGGAAAGCTCTTCAAGAGATGGGAATACCAGACCACCTTACCTGCCCCCTGAGAAATCTGTATGCAGGTCAAGAAGCAACAGTTAGAACTGGACATGGAACAATGGACTGGTTCCAAATTGGTAAAGGAGTATGTCAAGGCTGTATGTTGTCAACCTGCTTATTTAACTTACATAAGAGTATATCATGTGAATGCCAGACTGAATGAAGCTCAAGCTTGAAATCAAGATTGCTGGGAGAAATATCATTAGCCTCAGATATGCAGATAATTCCACCCTTATGGCAGAAAGCAAAGAGGAACTAAAAAGCCTTTTGATGAAAGTGAAAGAGGAGAGTGAAAAAGTTGGCTTAAAGCTCAACATTCAGAAAACTAAGATCATGGCATCCGGTCCCATCACTTCATGACAAATAGATGGGGAAACAATGGAAACAGTGACAGACTATTTTCTTGGGCTCCAAAATCACTGCAGATGGTGACTGCAGCCATGAAATTAAAAGACACATGCTCCTTGGAAGAAAAGCTATGACCAACCTAGACAGCATATTAAAAAGCAGAGACATTACTTTGCTGACAAAGGTCCATCTAGTCAAGGCTATGGTTTTTCCAGTAGTCATGTATGGATGTGAGAGTTGGACCATAAAGAAAGCTGAGCACCGAAGAATTGATGCTTTTGAACTGTGGTGTTGGAGAAGACTCCTGAGAGTCCCTTGGGCTGCAAGGAGACCAAGCCAGTCAATCCTAAATGAAATCAGTCCTGAATATTCATTGGAAGGACTGATGCTAAAGCTGAAGCTCAAATACTTTGGCCACCTGATGCAAAGAGCCGACTCATTAGAAGAAACCCTGATGCTGGGAAAGATTGAAGGCAGGAGGAGAGGGGATGACAGATGATGAGATGGTTGGATGGCATCACCAATTCAATATTCATGAGTATGAGCAGGCTCCAGTAGTTGGTGATGGACAGGGAAGCCTGGCATGCTGCAGTCCATGGGGTTGCAAAGAGTAGGACACAACTGAGCGACTGAACTGACTGAACTGAAAGTTCAGCTAAGAGGAAAAGAATATTTCATCCACTGCTCTAGACACTTGCAAAATTTCCCCAGATATAAAGCTAGATTAAAAAGGGCAGGAATCTATAAGAATGCCCTACTTTTAATTCATTTATCTCTTGCTATTAATATGTACCTAGAACTATGCTAAACTTGTATTAATAAGTAATGCATTGAGTCACAGAGAGGTTAGGAAACTTGCTCAAGGTCACAGAGCTGAAATGCAGCTGCACCACTCACATGAGCTCCAGAATGTTCTTTTATCTGGATCTGCTTTGCACTAAGACTATGAGGCTGTGGGGAGGGACTGTGGAAACAGTACTCTGTGAATCCCATCGTTTTGACTAAAGTAACGTTGCTATTGAGAAGACCAAAGAGGAAATTTAATTCTGCTTTTGATATTTCCTTGCATCTGAGGGTGTATTTGGCTTTTTGATTCATGGAACTATGAGAATTTTGTCAATAAAGAGCATTCTCTTTTCTTACTTGACACTACAATACTTAAAGCCAGGGGTTTACCATGCTCTCCCCCAATATATATTAGTCTTTGTGGTGTGAATTTAGCACCTGTTTTGTTTTGTTTTGTTTAACTTTCTCATATATTTCTAATTTATAGTTTTTTATGGAGTTTATGACTCTTGTGAGCTTCTTTGAACCCCTTTGGGAATAAGGCAGGGTGTGTCCTGTTCATGTTTTTATGGCTTGTGTGGTTAACTCTTCTATTTATCATTTAGGAAGTGGAAGCACAATTGGAAGAAGTGAAGAAGAAATCAGAAAATGAAATAAAGCAGCTGGAAGAAGAGAAAGCGGCCCTAAGTGTGAAGCTCCAGAATTCACTGCTTGAGGTAAGTCCTGAATAAACACTGTGCTTGGGAGTGATGATTCTGGACTCTAGGAGTTTGTTTTTTTTTTCTCATTTATTTTTATTATTTGATTAACTAACGTGCCAGGAATCTCAGGAAGTCACCCTGACTTTCTTACATTTAGCATCCTTGCGAGGAAGAAAAAGACTTTACCCTGACAGGAAGATGATCTCAGGGGCATAAATTCAGCTGCAAGTAACAGAGAGCCTGATTTATAGAGGCTTAACAAAGAGGCACTTAATGTTATACATAAAAGAAGGAGGCAGGAGGCTGCTGGCGTTGATTCTGTGGCTAAATAATATCACGTCTGGAAAATCTGCAAGCCTCTTGGTCCCGCCATCTCCCAACCTCCTGGCAGTTTTCTGGGCATTAGATACTTCTGCCTTTGTGGACTCTCTTCTTCATCAAAAAGAATTAAAAATTTTAATTTGTAACTGCATTGCCATAAAGGTGAATACAGCAAGGCTGTGTTTTTTCCTTCAAATTTTGAATGAAAACATTTTCATGGTTCCTAAATGTATCACAGGTCCCTGACACTGCATGTGGGAGAAGTTGGCTCAGAGTCCCCTTGGTTGTGAGAATGACTGTCACTGACCAGTTGTCATGTCCAAATTTAAAACAGGAAACGAGTAGGGGTAGGGGTGACCAAGCCTGCCCACTTCTTTAGAAAAACAAAAGAGTGTACCGAAGCCCCTAGCTGACTCCTACTCCCATGGTAACATCTGTGCCACATGGCTAGCCTGGGAAACCAAGGATTTAGCCATCAGGCCTCCATGCTGGAGGCCAGCCAGAAGAGTGGGATATGAAATGGGTGTAAGCCAGCTGAACTGTGGGGTTTTCTTCTTGGGCCCATCTGTCCAAACCACCCAGGGACCAAGTTCAAAGTTTAAAAGCACTGTGGACAGTATTACTGGGGAGAAAAACTTGCCACTGGACTCTATTCATCCTTTAGTGCTATTAACACTGTGCCAGAACTCCTGGGCAGTTTTTTGCTGGAAGTTCTCTGCAGTAGTACCTACCTCATAGTGATTGTTAGGAGAATTAAGACTTAATACTGTAAAATGCTTAGGTTTGTGCCTGACACAGAGCAAGCACGTCATTAATGATGCTCTTTTTATATTTTACATATGTCTAATGAATGTTGTTGTGATTGTAAGTGTGCATCTGTCTCCTCCATTAGATGACAGCTCCTTGAAGGCAGGAACAATATTTTACGTTACCATCTTGCTCTCAAGCTGTTTCTTCTCCTCCCCACCTTATGCCTAACATGGTACCTGAGGAGCATTAGTTTCAGCAACATCTGAGTTTCCTTTATGGTTATTAGTTCTTCTCAAAGTGTAGAGCTGGGAAACCAATCTGTTTAATTCACATTCTACATTTAGTTGGTTAATAATAATCTCATAATTAAGGCCTTATAATGTAGTAGCATCCTGCAGCCACCCTTCTCTCATATTATCTGTATAATTCTTAAACATTGTTCCTTTTCTTTACCAACTAACTTTGTAAAAATAAAATAGGGTGGCCTTCCAGGAATGGTTTGAAAACCAGTGGAAACCATGCTACAGCTTTGGTATAGTTATATGGACATGAATAATTTAAAGGGAAGTGTTGGATATTGTAAACATGCCAGGCTCATTGTCTTCTGAAGAAATAAGCAACTAGCTAACTAGATATGGCCCCTCAAGAAGCGTGTCTGGGATTTGTCTAGTGAGACCCTGTCCCCAGAAGTGATTGACTCAAGGAACAGGCTCCCAGATTAATGACCACAGCCAGGTGGTAGAACTTTGCTTCATTGCTGAATATTTCTATTCTTCTATTTTAGGTTTTAAGGCTGGAAGAATTTATCCAACAGAATAAGGCATGTCCCCCAAGAGGCAATGAAAGGCCCCAGGAATTGGACTGCCAGCACTACAACATTTTAGAGACCCAGGTAACCTCTAGCTTTTTCTGCTTTAATTAAGGATATTTTTCTTCTCCTTTTCAGCACTTTGGTGTCCCCAGTGACACATGCTGGCATTAATGGGCCCTTTTATTTCCCCTCTCGGAGCTGCCAAAATGCCTGGGGAAAAAAATCATTATAAAATCAATTTGCAACAACCATGAAGAAAATAGAGTTCTGAGTAATTATCTGCATGGTTTGAAAAAGAACAAGGCTTATCAGATAAATCTTCCCTCCGTCTCTGAGAGCAACCTGGCTGGCAGACAAAGGGGCACTGGACTAGAGTGGGGTCTTTGGTTCTGCCTGGAGCATGAAGCCTAACAGTAATCACAATGCCCCCTTGCATCCCTCCGCATCCACATCCATATCCGTGATATCTGTTACTCTCACGGTAGCCCTCCCACGTGATGCTGCCCCTTTTTAAGGGATGGTGCTTCAGGATTGAATCTAGTTTCTGTTTGTCTCTGTCAGGCTCATGCTAGGCTGTGTTCTTTCCTAGTGTTGCCACAATGAATTACCAACCCTTGGGGCTTAAACCACAAAAATGTATTGTCTCACAGTTTTGAAGACTGAAAGTCCAAAATCACAGTGTGAGCAGGGTTGGCTCCTTCAGGTGGCTCTGGGTAGAGTCTGTTCCAGCTTCTGGGGGTTGGTGGCACTCCTTGGCATTCCTTGGCTTGTCACCACATCATTAGCTTTCTTATAGGGACACTAGTCATTGGATTTAGGGCTCACCCTAATCCAGTATGACCTTATTTTAACTAATTACATCCGCAAGAGCCCAGGTTGCAAGTAAAGTCACTTCTTTAGGTGCTGGAGTTAAGACTTCAATGTCTCTTCTTGGGGGCACAATTTAACCTAAAATATAGGCACTCAGTTAACATTCCTTGCATAATGTCAGAAACATAAATTCTTCCTGTAAGTTCATGTTTGAGTACCCTGGCCTGAAGGATCCTCTTGGTTCCTATTTCAGCTTACCTCTTAATCTTTACAGCTGGCACCATCAAAAATCCATTGCCTAAATTTCATATATTTTACTGCTGCCTCAAATTTTCAGTCTACTTCAGATTTCAGGTGGGAAAACACTATGTAGGTGAGTCTGAATCTCACTGCTTTGTCTCTTCCATTAATCCACCCATTTCCCTGTGCCTGTGTGTCTTCAGAAACTATAAGTTTTCCTTGTTGATTCCAGTCCTATTTTGCAAACAGCCCTACTGGGATAACCCATACTTAACCTTAACCACATATTCACCAGGATAGAAATGAGTCAAAAATCTAGTGGCTATGGATTTGAATAACAATATTGGTCAGTTATACAGCACTGTCTCCATTCATGACCTCATTGGAATTTGTTTAACCCTGTAATGTAACCATTTTACAAAAGAGGAAATTGAAAGACTGAGAAGTTAGATGACTTGCTTATGGTCACAGGCAGATAAGCAGTCGAGATGGGATGGAGCTAGGTCTCTGGCTCTGATCCCCCACTCTTCCTATAAGAGTATCAACACATGTCTAGGATGCCTTCCAGATAAAATAGGCTATAGTTGTATGTCTTGGGATTAAGGAGAGTGGCCAGGACTCCCCACATTTCCTCCTTTGACACCCAGATGTGGGGGAAATTCTTGAGCAGCCCCCATTGCCCCTGCATAAGCTTGGAGGAGAAATAAAGGAACACAGGTACATTTATCAGCAGGGCTGGCCCTTCCTGACTGAGGCTATCCCATCCTTTCTGAAAATGTCTGCTTGTAGAACATTCTCTATGAGTTTCTCAAGAAACAGCCTCATGAGCTATCGTTCAACAAGAACTCCTGGCCCTAGGGACAGCTGAACTTTTCACCAGTACCCTGTGGGACTTCCCAGAAAGGTTCTTCCTCAAATATTGGAGAATTTCTCAGGGCCTCAAAGTGACTGTGGTAGGGAGATGGGACAGAGTTGGCTGGGATCTTAAGTGATGAGATTCAAATTAAAGGAAGGTTGATAAGCTAGAATTAAATAATAATGAAGCTCCAGAAGATTACACAGCAGGCTGTATTTTCAGGAGGGAACACACACATACACACAAGTTCTAGGTATGTTCCAGGACTGACGTACAAGGGCCAAAGCTTTCATTGCAGCTCAAGGTCTCTCAGCCTTGGCACTTGACTTTTGGACTGGGTGAAGTTTTGTTGTGGGACTTCCCTGTGCCTTGTAGGATGTTTTGTAGCATCCTTGGCCTCTACTCACCGAAGGCCAGTAGCAATCCCTCTGCAATCAGAATGTCTCAACCAAAAACTTCTCCAGACATTGACAAATGTTTCCTTGGGCCCATAACCATCCAATTGAGAACCACTGCTGTAGCTAAAACAGCAAGTCCTAGAGAAGTTTAAGGGCTACAGTCCATGGGGTCGCAAAGAATCAGACATGACTGAGCAACTATACACAAAGAAGTTTAAATACAAGTGCACATTGAAAACCTTGGGTTGGTTCATCATGAAACTGGGGCTATCATCTGACCCTTCTGGGTCTAGACAATGATCCCTCCAAGAGCTCAGTTCTAGACAGAAGTAAAGAAGGAAGAACCTTCATGAGTATCAGTTCTGCTTGATTCAACTCAACGTGTATGCTATTCATTCATTCCACAGTCATCTGTGAAACAATGACAGAAACAGTACATGTAAATGTTTAGTAGGGGCTAACTCTTACCACTGTAGGATTTGCTAGGTCCAGTGGTATGAAAAGCTTGAACTTGGATAGATTTGCTGCGTTGCACTCCATCAAGGTTGTCAGTGTACCCCCACGGCAGCAGGCGCAAGTGTCTGTTTCCCCACAACCTTACCAACACAACGGGTTACACAACTTTCTGAACTTGGTCAAGCTATGTCAAAGAAAGTTTATAATTTAGTTCAGATATTTTTTTCCAGCAAAATCTATGCCAACCAAGCGAGTCAAAGCTTTGCCAAGGCCCTAGAGGTACAAAGTCCAGGCCTGTGTGGATGGTGCATGAGCCGTGCATTACAGCGCAGTGAACCCAGCCCCCACACGGGACACAACAACGGTTGCTCTTAGCTGTTCTGCCAAACCATTTCAGTGAGTCAAGAGAGATATAAATAATAAGGCCGAGACTTTTCACTCCATTCCCAGAATACACAGAGGGAGGGCTGCCAACCCTGGGTATGGCTCTGTCCCCACTGTAGACAGCTGAGACTCCATTGAGCCTTTTATCCTGGCCTCTCATGTCTGGTCTCCTTGATTCTCTTAGGTTCACAGTGGTCTTCATTAGTTTCCAGAAAGTCATGTGAGTCTTGGTAATTTTCACAGAAACTTTTTTTGTGGAAGATTCTGGTGTCTGGGTCTCAGTGAGCTGGGGACAGGGAAGGGATGAAGTTTTCATAGATCCTTGCCTGCACCTTCTCCAGAACAAAAAGAAAAGTCATTTGTGGTCATTATTATTCAACTCATTTTGCCTCAACAAGTATTTATGAGTGCTGTCATTAAGAGAGGCCCAGGGCTGGATGAGTGAGGGTGGTCCTCAGAGAGCTCCATTTCAAATGCAGGAAGTAAATATTATATAATTACCTCTCTGGCATCAGTTTCCTCACTGTTCATCGTGGCAAACAGATTAAGTACCAAGAACATAGTGTGTACACAGTCCCACACCACAACCCTATGAGGCAAGTGTTATTATCCTCTCTTTACAGATAGGGAAACTGAGGCCCAAACTGAGGAACACTGAGGAACACCAGTGTCCAAATTACAGTTCTATACTGCTTTTCATTAGTAAAGTGGCAGGCATGACTCCTGTCCTCCCACCCCAGAGACTTCTAATAAACGGAAGAAAGCACATGAAGTCACTTTTCAAAACTGTTAAAAGAGTCTATAATGTAAGGTGACTTTGGAGTATCTATTACAGTCCCCTGTAATCATTTCAGCAAAACCCCATTGCATTAGGTGTTCTATTTTTAAGATGTACATAATGCTGCCTTTGAAAGATTGTCAAATGAACTTGAGAAAGACTTTCAATATTTCCTTCCTGGAGATTTCCTGGGCGTGGGTGTTCCTTTAAAATAGAAACAACTCAGATGAGGTTCACTGCCTAGAAAATGAAAGATAAAGGCCTAATGTGACTGTGGGTTTAAAATAACCAGCCATTGGCTTGGGAGGAGTTGGGAGGAGGCTTTTGCAGTGGATGGTTAGGGGAGAAGCAGAGCTATTTATTTTCTGTGCATACTTTAGTGATGGAGAGAGTCCTGGACAGAAGCTGAGAAATGCCTAATGGGGAGTGCAAGAGTGTGAATTAGAAGCGATTAACTCAGGATACACCCAAAGTGGCTCACTGTTGGTCCTGGGAGGCACTCACTGGGATCCCAAGCCGACAACCACAAAAGGGATGCTGGAGAGTCCGCCCCATTTGACATTCAGAGAAATGAGTATTGGTGAGCTTGAAAGTGCTCCTTCAGCCTACTGTGCATTTCCAAGATCAGATTCCTTTGAGAAATATTCAGATGGCACCCCAGTTCCTTCGGAATGATACACTTTGACCCAAAATACAGGTACAGAAGGTAGGGTGGTGAAGGTGAATGCTTTCCATTTATATGGTCTGTTGGTCCCCTCTGCTGAACTATTAGTTTGTTGAAATCAAGAATTATTTTTCTTATTAATCTCTGTCCCTCCAGCACCTAACATACCCACATGTGGCAGATGTTTGTATCTCCTTGTATATTAACTGATCCATGACATGACAACTGAATGAATGGAGCTGAGAGTACTGTTTCAAGCTAGATTAGGAACACCTTCAAAAATTAGCCTTGGCTAGAGGATGATTTAAAGGAGCACTGGGTCCTTTAATTATTCGCAGGGAGGGGGAGGACTCATCTCCTTATTGTGGGAAGGATATCCTTGTCTTTGGTTTCCAGGGAGCTGGAAGCAAGTGAACAGAAGTAGAAAAGATTGCTGAGTTTATCTCCCTGTTGATTTGGGAAGCAGCCTTCATCTGTCAGGTTGATTTTAAGTGTCTGATTTGCAGATACGTTTCAGCAGTACATTCGTATCACAGTTTGAATTCATCCAGTTAGGCCCTGATACTGGCAGCTGGTGATCATGCTAACACAACAGAGAGCCAGTGCAGTCACATGGAATTCTGGACTTCTCCGACCTTAGATCCACCTCTGCAACACAAGGACGGGGTTGTCTTTCCTGCCCACCTCCCTGAGTTGCAGGCGTCCCTGAGTTACTGCATGGAAATAGATGGACGCTATGCTGTGGGGAGCTGGCGTAGTCATCTGAGTGCATCGTCAGCCTTTTTAAGCATTTTCTATCCTCTCCTATTTCTGGACTCCTGCCCAGGATGCCTTTAAATATATCAGTGGTCGATAAGGTAGCCCAGAAATTACATCCTGCACATTCTCTTTCACAGTCTTCACAGTGACTCAGAGTGCATTTGAAATTCTTTTTCATCTTCATAACTGTCATGAGATCTTTGTCCATTATTCATGTTGCTTTAAGTTCCTTCTCCCTTTTTCCTTGATCAGTCTTAGCAGTAGTTTGATGTGTCTTTTCAAAAAGCTGGCTTTCAGATGTGCTGGTCAGATCTGCCTTTTTCTATGCCATTAATTTTGTCTCTCATACTTCTTTCCTTCTACTTACTTTGGGTTTATTATGTTATCCTTTTTCTAACTTCTTAAATGTTCTGTAATAAATACACTTAAGGCTATAAATTTCCCTCTCAGTCTATGCCTTTAGCTGTATCCCAGAGTTTTGAAGTTTATCTCACTTTTTAAACCTACTTTCTTACTGTTTTCTAAATTTTTTGCATTGTCATTAGATAATGTTGTCTATAAAATGTCAACACTCTAGCTATGCTGAAATTTGCTCTGTAGCCTGCTGTGGAGTCAGTTTTTTTAAAATGTTTTCTATGTGATAGCCAAAACGTATACATTCTGTTTGGTTGTTAAAGATTTGTTGTTGTAATTCAGTCACTAAGTCGTGTGTGACTGTTTGTGACCCCCATGGTTAAAGCTTATATATTTAAACTCTAGTTCTGGTGTTTACTGCATGACCTTGGGCAAGGTTCATCACCTTTAAAATGGTATGATTCTCGCCTCATAGAGTTGAGGGTGCACACTAAGCATTATATAAACATTAACAGTGATTATTGTTCTTTTTTAGCTACTAGTTTCAGCTTATTAATCTTGTTCAAATCGTCCATTTCCTAGCTTATTTTGTGTACCTGATATATGAGTCTCTGAGAAGTGTGTATTAAAATCTCCCATTATAAATTTGCCTGTTCCTCCCTATATTTCTGAACATTTGCCTTCTGTTTTCAGGCTCTGTTGCTAGGTCCCTACAAGTTCATTTTTAGAGCCTTGTAGTGATGATTCATTTTACTAGGCTTCCCTGATAGCTCAGTTGGTAAAGAATCAGCCTGCATGCAGGAGACCCGGGTTCGATTCCTGGGTCGGGAAGATCCACTGGAGAAGGGATAGGCTATCCACTCCAGAATTCTTGGGTTTCCCTTGTGGCTCAGCTGGTAAAGAATCTGCCTGCCCAGACATTTGGACTCTATGGGAGAAGGCAAGGGTGGGGTGATCTGAGAGAATAGCATTGAAACATGTATATTATCAAGTATGAAACAGATCACCAGTCCAGGTTGGATGCTTGAGACAAGTGCTTAGGGCTTGTGCACTGGGATGACCCAGAGGGATGGGGTGGAGAGGGAGGTAGGAGGGGGGTTCAGGATGGGGAACACATGTAAATCCATGGCTGATTCATGTCAATGTATGGCAAAAACCACTACAATATTGTAAAGTAATTAGCCTCCAACTAATAAAAATAAAGGAAAAAAAAACTCAACCTTCAAAAATCTAAGGGAAAAAAAAAAAAAGAATCTGCCTGCAATGTGGGAGACTGGGTTCAATTCCTGGGTTGGGAAGATCCCCTGGAGAAGGGAAAGGCTACCCACTCCAGTATTCTGGCCTGGAGAATTCCATCAACTGTATAGAACATGGGGTCACAAAGATTCATTTTACTAGGGTAGAGATACTCATGTTGAACTGAGTCAATTCTTATTTATTGTGATTACTGGTACCATTAGAATTGTTACATCATAAATAAGAAGAAATGGGATTTAAACATAGGCAGTTTTCTGCCAGAGCCCAAGTTTTAAACAAGGGAGGGTCTCTTGGTTATGGTGAGTGAAGTGAGGAAGCTTGACATGTAAATATCATAGGGTAGAGCATTGCAGGCAGCAAGAACAACCAGTGCAAAGGCCCTGAGGAAAGTAGATGCTTGTTGTTTGGAGGAGGTAAGACCAAGTGTTCAGTTCTGGACATGTTACAGTTTGAGAAGCTTATTAAGCATCTGAATGATGTCTGGAGGGCAATTGGATATACAAGTCCAGGGTTTAGGGGGAAACTTGGAAATGGAGGTAAACTGTTTGTCATTAGTATCCATGGACCTAGATGAGACACTAGGGAGTAAGACAGAAAAGAGAAGTCCAAGGACTGAGGTTTAGGGCAGGAATGGAGGAGGCTTTAGCAGAGGAGACAGAGGAGTAGCTGAGAGAGAGGAGGAAACCCAGGAAAGGGGGCTGCATGGAGGAGGAAGGAACAGATATTCCAGTTCTGCAGAAAAGTTCAATTAACCGAAGCCCAAGCAGTGACCATTGGATTCGGCAACATCGAGGTCCTCATTGGCCTTGACATTGGTGGCCTTTCATAAACATTAGAGTACATCGAAGTCAACCAGAGCCGTTTCATTCTGTGTCAGGGAGGGAGGGGAGCCCAAGGCCCCATCTTCCAGTCTCAGCTTTGCCTCTGTTATCACCAAAGGCTTCTCTCATGGTCCCTGGAGCATGGTTTGAAAACCAGAGATGTAACCAACCACTTTGTTTTACAGCTGATGAAGCTCAGGGCCAGAAAAACACAAGACTGACAGAGACACATAATTAGCAGAAAGCCCAGGTAGCAATTTATTATTATTTAATAAGATTTCTCAACAAAGAGGTCTATCCTAGCCTGCTTACACTGTTTTCTGTGGACAGTGGTTATTGTAACAAGTAGAAGAATCAAAATAAGAAAGTCTTCACCTTTCTTCCCTGCTGAAAGAGGAAATAATAAAATGAACAAATTCTATTGATAGAAAATTCTGAAGCCTCCTTATTAACTCATGGTTTCCATATTGTCCTCCCACCATACCCCACTTCTCAAGGCTTCTGATAAAGTTCCATGTTTTCTGATCCTGTATTATAGGATGTAGCAGACTGCCACCTGTAATATGAGTATAATAATAATACCAGTTGCTCACCCTTATAGACCAGTGGCTGTTGCTGGCACTGTTCTCTGATTCCCACAACAGCCCCAGGGTTGCATTTCATTTCCATTCCTCTCTGATAGGAACCCTGGACAAGCTGCGTGCTTTAGTTTCTCTGTCTGTGCTTTAGTTTCATCAGCTGCGTGACATGCTTGCTAGGCTGAAAAGCAGGATACAGGGATCAGGGCTGACACTGCTCCTGAGCCAGGCAGTGGGCTCAGCACTGAATCATCACAGGCCTGAGAGCTGTGAGGATTGCTGGAGGCTCTTTCTCCTCTGCTCTCTGGTTTGGTAAACCACAGGTTGGCTCCAGGAACTTTACTTTAGTCTCATCTTTCAACTGTTTTTCCCTTAGGATCCATGCTTGAGACCGAATGAACCTTCTCAGACTCTGCCCAGAGGAGAGAAATATCAAGATAAGTTAGCAGCTGAAGAAGGAACCAGCAGCGAAGAGGAGGAAAGGTACAGGAGGACAGGCAGGCTTCCGAGGGCTCCAGTGAATGAGGACTCACACTTGAAGGATTCATTCATTCATTCATTCATTCATTCTGTACCTCATATATTTATCACTGCCCCATGCATGAAGCTTAGGGAGGGAACAGAAATGTCTTGTGTGCCTTCAGCACATCTAAGGACTTTACCTGAATTATTTGTCACACCAACTCAGAGAGACCATTTTATAGATTAAGAACCTAACACTCAAAAAGGTTAATAAACTGCCCCCAAATCAGACAGATCTAGACTGGCCCAAACCTCTGCCTCCTGTTCTTCCAAGTGACAAAAACTAATACCCTGAGCAGAAGGTAATATGCTCTCCACAGGTCTTAGTTAGTTTGGGCTGCTATAACAAAATACCATACAACAGAAGGTTATTCTCACAGTTCTGGATGCTGGGGATCAAGGTGCTGGCCCATTCAGTTCCTGGTGAGGACTCTTTTTGGTTTGCACATGGCCATCTTGTGTCCTCTCATGGAGAAGAGAGAGGCAGCAAACAGTGTGGGAGGAGGTCTCTCTTGTGTCTCTTCTTATAAAGATACTAATCTCACCATGAGGGAGATTAGTTGTCATAGTCAATTTGGACTGCTTAGCAAAATCCCATAGATGGGGTGCCTTATGAACAACAGAAATTTATTTCTCACAGTTATGGAGGCCATAAAGTCCAAGGTCAAGGTGATGGCAGTTTCTGTGTCTGATGAGGACTCACTTTCTGGCTTATAGAAGGCGTCTTTTCATTCTGTCTTCACAAGATGGAAGGGCAAGGGCCTCTTTTATAAAGGCACTAATCCCATTCATGAGGGTCTCACCTTCATGACCTAATCACCTTCCAAAGGCCTCATTTCTCATTGCCATTAGATTGGACAGTAGGCTTCAAAACATGACTTTTGAGAGGACAGAAACATTTATAAGCTAGCATTGAGGAAGCAAAGCCTACACCCCTAAATCATATCAATGGCTGTGTCAGGTACCCTATAGTCCTGTGAACTCTCTAGCTAATAATACTTGTCCAGCTCCCTCCAGATTCTGTCTTGGGATCTATGAGATGTGTAACCATAGCGGTTAAAGAGCACAGACTCTGGAGTCGGGCCTCCAGACTAAATGCTGGTGCTGTCACTTACCCCTGGAAGCTACAAATCTTATTCCATTCAAAACTAACAAAGGGCAAGAAATAGTCTTTACTGTGAAAATACTGTCAAGGATTTCAAGAGGTTCCTAAGGGGCCCAGATTGGGTCATTTGTCCATCCCTGAGCCAGTCATTCTGGCCAAGGAGATATCTGGCTCTGATGGACCAGGTATGTGTCAGCCCTTCCCATGGGCCAATTAAGGATGAGGGCAGAGCTAGCTGCATCTGAACCTTGTGGACTAAACAGGATCATTATGGAAAGAGAAAAGCCTTCCCTAAGGAGAAGATGCTGGGCAGACCAACAGTAGGTGGTGATCACAGCAACCTTGTCTTTTCTCCTGTGTAGCTTTGTTGTTAAGGGGGTTACTCAACCCCAAAAGAAAATGAGGAGGTGTGGGGTCTGTAGGCTTCTTTCATGGGGGTTTTAGTGAGAGTGTAAGAACTGAGAAGTAATGAGAAAGGAATAGAAAGATCTATGGTCAGAGGCTGCAGAACAGAACAGACACATTGGTTCTTTAGGGGTGAGGTTGCATATTCAGTAGTTAACCCTTTGAAGGTTGCTTGTCAGAGAACTTTTGGCATGGTGGATTTTCCGTTGGCTGTTGATTTAAGGTTAGGGTCGCAGGTCAGATGGGTTTCCCTGGTGGCTCAGTGGTAAAGAACCTGCCTGCAGTGCAGGAGACCTGGCTTCAATCCCTGGGTCAGGAAAACCCTGCAGGAGGGCATGGCAACCCACTCTAGTACTCCTGCTTAGAGAATCCCATGGGCAGAGGAGCCTGGCGGGCTGCATTCCACAGGGTCACACAAAGTTGGACACGACTGAAGCGATTAAATAGGAGCAACAGCAGCAGGTCAGAATCAACTTCAGTGGGAGCAGGGGGAGTCAGAAGGGTCTGCTGTGGCTTGCTTGTGAGAGATGGCAGGATTGGATCTGCTTTTTAGGATATGAGGATACGAGGGAATTTGACACAAGAGAATAGAGTAAGAGAGGGAAATTCTCATTCATGGTGTTCCCAGAAATGATGATGATGATGAAGAATATAATAATAGTAAATATTTACTGAATGCTGGATTAACCCATTTAATTTTCATTAGATAGATACCGTTGTTGAAGTACTTCATTTTAAAGATGAGGGAAACTGAAGAACAGAGGTTAAGTGACTTCCCTTTCTACTTATTCTGCCAGTAGATGGTAGGATCCAGATGATAGCCTCTCTGGCTCCAGAACTAATGTTTTTAACTACATCTCAACAGCTGTTCTTATGCCATACGACGTCCCACAGTTTTTCTGTTTCTCTAAGGTCACTCTTTAATACTCAGTAAAATGACTGAACTTGTACTTCTAGCTGTGGCAGGGTAACTGGTACTAGACTTGGCCTCTTTCTGTAGACAACTTTAAAAGTGAGCAAAATAAATGACAACTCTTTCAGTCACAGGACACTATGCAGAGAAGGACCATGTTCTTTAGAAGAGAAACAGGAATGAATCCCATAATCTCTCCACATTTTCTCCTGCCTCTCTGTCTGGGGACTGGGCCAACCACAGTGCAGAGAAGTGGAGGTAAGCTGAGCTGAGGAAGCAGACATCAGGGCTCAGGGCTGCTAGAGCAGCTGGCATTTGTAAGGTATGGTGCCAGAAGAGAAGATACTAAGTGGGGATATAGGGGGCAGAAATCTATAAAAATTTTCCATGGGTCCTTGCCAGGAGCTTGAGTGAGACTCATGAGGCCTAGGAGTATGCTGCTGCCCTGGTGCTGAGAAAAACGAAGGTACTAGAGATGAGATGCTAGGAGACATTGGATTCCAAGATCAGCCACAATAAAAAAAAAAAAAAGCCTTTCTGAGCTCCATGAGCATTGAGTTGAGACCTCAGAAACATAACACTTTAGGAGTAAGAAACACACCCTGTAGGATAAGGGCCATACCCTAGAACAAAGGACAGTGTTGAAATATACATGCTTTAACAAAAGATAAATCCAGGCATAAAAAGATCAGAAAGAGTCTTGAGTAATTTAACTGGCTCTCATAACAAAACTAAACACTTTTGAAAGGAATTAATAATGCAGACTCCCAGTATTGTATTATCCACAGTATTGAGCATTTGATGAAAACATTATAAGACATGCAAGGAAGCAGAACAGTATGACTTATAATCAAGAAAAAAAATCAGCTAATAAAGCCTAAAATGACCTAGATATTGGAATTACCAGACAAAGACTTGAAAGCAATTATATGAGCTATGTTCAGGGAAAGGATTGTTATAATGAATGAACAAATAGGGAATTTCTGCAGAGAAATGAAGACCTTGGAGCAAATGGAAATTCTAAAGCTGTAAAGTACAATATCCACAATGAAAACCTCATTAGATGTACTTAACAGCAAATTAAAATCATAGAAGAAAAGTTCGTCGCTTGAAGATAGATCAGTAGAAACTGTACTATCCAAAGAATGAGGGGGGAAATTTTTTTAAATGAGGAGATTCTTAGTGACTTGTGGGACAATATCAAATAGTCTAACATGCATGTATTTGGAGCCCACATGTAAAAAGGCAAAGAAAATGGAGCAGGAAAAAATATTTGGAAAAAATGACCAAAAATTCCCCCAATTTGATATGGGACACCAATTTACATATTCAAGAAGTTAGATGAACTCCCCACAGAATAAATCTGAAGATAACAATGCCTAGATACATCATAGAAAATCTGCTGAAAACAAAATATATCCCCCCAAATCTTACAAGCAGTCAGGTTTTTAAAAAGACAAATTATATACAGGAGACAGTTGGCTTTTCATGAATACTAATGACAACTGAGTTCTCATCAACCTTCTAGGCTCATTTTCTGATGAAAGCCAGAAAACTATGAAGCAATATCATTAAGGTTATAAATGGAAAAGGAAAAAAAACCTGTAAAATCCTAATTTTAAATCGAGTGAAAATATTCTTCAAAAATGAGAGTGAAATAGAACATTTTCGGGTATATAAAAGCTAAGAGGACTTTTCACCATTTAAGCTGCAGTATGATTAACAGCAATGGAATTTATTAAAGCTGAAAGGAAATTACAGCAAATTTAAAGTTGGATATACAGGAGAAAACGAAGAGCCTCAGAAATGGTAAATGTATGCTGCTGCTGCTGCTGCTGCTGCTAAGTCGCTTCAGTCGTGTCTGACTCCGTGCAACGCCATAGACGGCAGCCCACTAGGCTCTGCCATCCCTGGGATTCTCCAGGCAAGAACACTGGAGTGGGTTGCCATTTCCTTCTCCAGTGCATGAAAGTGAGAAGTGAAAGTGAAGTGGCTCAGTCGTGTCCGACTCTTAGCGACCCCATGGACTGCAGCCTACCAGGCTCCTATCTCCATGGGATTTTCCAGGCAAGAGTACTGGAGTGGGGTGCCATTGCCTTCTCCAGGTAAATGTATAGGTAAATATAAAAAACTACTGCTTTTCTTTCTCTTCAATTTCTTTAAAAGACATAATAACTGCTTAATAATTAAGCAGTATATTATGAAGTTCATAATACATATAGTTGAATAATATATGACCACTAGCACAAAGAATAGCAATTAGTGAAATTATAGTATTGTAAGGGACTTATATTTTATATGAAGAGGTACAATGTTAACTCTAAGAAGGTTGTGATAGGTTAAGGATACAAGTTTTAATCCATAGAGCAACATTAAACATTAATACAAAGAAAAGCTTAAAAAATCCAATAAAAGAACTAAAATGGAATCATAAAAAATGTCAGGTAGGAAGATAGAAAAAGAACAGAAGAACAATAAGAAAAGGATTGGGCAGTTAGAAAACAAATAAGATGTGGATTTAAACCCAGTCATTTCAATACTGATATTGTAAATGAAACAGAGACATCATTTAAAAGAAAGAGATTGCCAGAGAGGATAAAAAGGCAGGACATTTACTACATGCTATCTACCAGAGAGAGATTTAAGTATAAAGACACTGTTATGGGCTGAATTGTGCTGCCCCGTGCCCCCCTCAAATTCATATGTTAAGGCCCTAATCCCCAATATGAATGCATTCAGAGATAAAGCTTTAAATAGATGATTGATTTAAATGGGGTTATTAGGGTGGCCCCCACCCAATATTTCCTTGTAAGAAGAGATCAGTGCACTGGTAAAGCAGCCAAAGGGACAATCGTGGGGACAGAGGCTGATGGAAGTTTGCTATCTGCAAGCTTCAGAAGAGAAGCCTTAGAAGAAACCAAACCTGCTGACTCCGTGATCGTGGACTTCTAGCTTTCAGAATTATGAGAAAATTAATTTCTGCTTTTTAAGCCCTTCAGTTGGTGGTATTTTGTATAACACATTTTATACAGGCACAGATAGGTTGGGAGGTAAAATGATAGAAATAGATATTCCATGCAAATACAAAATGTAAGGAAGCTAATGTGGCTATATTCATATCAGTGTAGACTTCAGAACAAGAAGTATTACCAGTGATTAAAAAGGGATGTTTCACAACAGTAAAGTGGTCAATTCATCTGGAAGACATCACAGTCCTAAATGTGTATTACCTAATAACAGAGCTTTAAATAATGAAGCAAATACTATGTGAACTAAAGGAAGAAATTTACAATCACAACTGAGATTCTGAGACCCTTTTTTGAATATTTGATTGAATGACTAGACTAATATCAGTAAGTATATAGAAGATTTGGACTACACTATTAACTAACAGTCTATTTTATATCTGTAGATAATATGCTAAAAAACTACAAAATAAATTTTTTCAAGGCACTTAAAACATTCATCAATATAGACAAACTAATATTCTTCATGAATGCAAAATCCTCAACAAAATGTTTGAAAATAAAATCAAGCAGTATATAAAAAGAATAATACATCATGACCAAGTAGAGTTTATCCCAGGAATGTGTGGTTGATTGAACATTTGAATGGCAGTCATGTAATTCATCATATTAAAATATAAAGGGAAAAAATAAATAATCATATCAATAGATGCACAAAAGCATTAGACAAAAGTTAACATTCTTTCATGATAAAACCTCTTCAATCCATGAATAGAATTTCTTCAACCTGAAAAAGATCTTGTATGATAACCATGCTTAATGGTAAAATATTGGACACATTCCTCCAAAAACTCAGAACAAAGCAATAATGCTGCTCTCACTACCTATCATTGTCCTGAAGGTCCTTCCCAGTCCTATAAAGCAAGAAAAAGAGCTACAAATTAAAAAGAAATAGTTAAAGTGTATTTATTTACAGACAGAATGATCATAATTGAAGTACAGCTATAGATTCAGTTCAATCCCATGTAAAATCCCAGTAGCCCTATTTGTAGGAATAAATAAGCTGTTCTAAATTTGGTTATATTTAGCATAGCTTCCAGAAGTTTGAAAATAACCTAAGAGAATTAGGATGCAAACCTAATGCAAACCTAAAAAGAAACCTTTTTACTTTATTAAATACTTGACTAATTTTTTTATTTGTATATTACAATGTGCCACAGAGTTAAGCATTTTTTAAGATATATACTCTATTAATCTTTAGAACAATCCGTGTGAAAGGTACTGTTATTAACCCCATGTTTTAGAAGAGGGAACAGCTTAAAGAGCTCAGACAAGGTAACATAACCAGTTACCAGTAGTAGAGCTAGAATTTGAATCTGGGCAATCTGGCTCTAGTGTCCATGATCTTAACAACTTTGCTACACTGCTTTTAACATCCTGCCCTTCCTTTGAGGGGTCTCCTCTGTCTATGTTGCTGGGCTTTCTCACCTCCACCAAGTCAGGGTCCTTATCGTGGTCTTTCTTCACAGTCCAGGGCCCTAACTCCCTAACCTCTGGTCCTCTGGCCTGATGTGTTTGCCAGAGAAACAAAATGTCATTGACCTCCCAGCAATCTCTGCAGAGATGCCCATGGTGCGTCATCCTTTTACACTGTTAAACAGGATAAATACTTAACTTTACAATCTCAGCCCATCACATTTGAATTTATCAGCTGGTTTACAGGCTCAAAACTGAGTATAGAAAAGTCTCCTCCAAAAATATTTGTCAGCATCTCTTCTAGAATGCAGAAACTACTGCAGCTTTAAACCAGCACTGTCTTGTCCCTGCTATATACGCAGAAAGGCTATTTATAATCCTCCTGTGTATACCTGGGAACAGCCAGTTAAAGCAATGTGTGCTTTGAAAAGTGTAAATTACTGTATTCAAGTAGAACATAATTTTTTGTTATTTTTTTCTACATTCATGAAAAGTTGTTAAATTAGACTGCAGAGACCCCTTCTTTTGAAGCTACTAGGGACCCCATATAAGTAACTCTAAGCTCTCAGTCATTCTGATAACTGATCATCATTTATTAAGTACCACTGAAACAGATATCCAGTGATTCCAGCTGAATATTGACAGTCTCCCAAGTGCAACAGCAGTTAGAATTGTATGTCAAATGACTTTTTCAAATCCAAGAGAGATGTCTGTCATTCCATTACTGCCATCGGCACTCCCTCCTCCCAGCCCATACCCAAGTGGCTGGGATGTTAGCAGGGTGACCATGTCATTTCCAAGCTGGGATCTTTTGTGATTTTGGCCTCTGTATCTTCAAAGGATCGAAGTGCCCATCAAGGAGGGAGGTGACCTGCAGCTTCCATTGGGCTCTTTGCCAAAGGAGAAGGCACCAGAAATCCAGCGTCTGCAGGAGGAGTGGCAGAGCCAGAAGGCCAGATTGCAAGCCCAGGTAGAAGGATGACCTTGGTGGGGATGCACCCTCATGCTGAGTGAGACCCTGCCTCTCCCTTATTCTTGCAGACAGCCTTGGAAATGCATGTGGGGCCCAATTCTTGTCTAAGCTGGGGAAGGCAGTCCAGGTCCAGGGCAAGGTGGGCTTCTTGGTTCTGTTCATGTATTCATTTAACACCTGCTGTGGCTCATGAGACCTGCTATGAGCCAGGAACTCTTCTAGGTGCTCGTATATTATCAGTGAACAAACCAGACAAAAGTCCTGCATTACAGGGCTTGTATTTTAGCAGAGGAGGTGGACACTGACAATATTAGACATTAAAAAATAAGTACTTATAATATTAGAAGATGTTAAGAGCGTTAGTAAAACGAAAAGACTGAGCAGGATAAAGAAGATTGAGTGGCTGTCTGGTGATGAGGGGTGGGTATAATACCAAATAGGACTGTCAGGGAAAGCTTCCATAAGAAAGGGAGATTTGGGCATGTGGGGCATGCAAGGGAGGCTGCTGTATAGATCTCTGGAGGGTTTTCTGGTCCCCTCTTGATTTCTCTTGGATGGCACACATCCCAGCCCTTCTTCTCCATTCCCTGGTATCCATGGCTCTATCTGAGGAGCCCCTGGGAGGGCCAGCTGTTCCCAGGTCCTTCAAGCTTGCAGCTTCTACCCGCCTCAGCATTCCCGTGGGTAGAGGAGGCTCAGGTGGGCTGTGGAGACATCAGAAAGCTTTGATGTTTAAAGAAAACCCCAGGGAGGGTGAGGGTCCCAGTCTGAGGTTGGATGCCCTGGTGGGCAGGTCTCACAGATGCAGCAGGCCTTGGAGCAGTGCGCCACAAACTACAGGGAGGACCTGCGGGAGCTCAAGCAGCTTTCGGACCACGAGCGGGAGCAGCTGCGGCATGAGCTCCAGGAGACCGTCCAGCAGAATCAGGCAGCGAAAGCCCAGCTTGAGGCTGCCCACAAGCGAGCTCTCTGCATGCTTGAGAAGGCTAAAAACCAGGAAGTCAAGGTAAAGGTGTTAACGATGACGTCCACTAACTACTACTGAGCTCTTGTTGTGCAAGCTGCTCAGCACTTTTGGGGGAGACTGTTGTACAATATCTCCAGTCCCCATATTCATCCTACAAGGTCATTATTATCATATTCCCTTTTTCTGGATGAGGAAAGAGGCTCAGAGAGGTTTGACATCCTGCTCAGGGTCACGTAGCTAGTAAGAGGCAAGACAAGGATTCAGACAGACTCAGGTCTGTTGAACTTCTGGGCATTTGCACATGACTTTTATATCATAAGACCAACTTCTCTTTCATGACTTGGGCAATATCCTGCAAAAGAAATTCTAAGGGAATTCTGAGAGAAATTCTAAGGGAATTCAAAAGAAATTCTAAGGGGAAAATTGAGACCAGACTCAAAGTACTTGAATTCAAATGTCATCAAACATCTCAGCAGCAACAGGGAAGCTAGAAGATAATGAAGCAATTCTGAGAAATTCGATTAAAACCATTAATAAGGGTGAGAACTGAATAAAAATATCAGACACATGAAATATTAGGAAAATTACCTTCTGTTATCAGTTTATGCCTCTCAGTTCTCGATTTACCCTTCGATACCTGCTTGTGATAATGATCTGTATTCTCTAGGCGTTTCTCCTCCTTTGCAGAGCACAGTGTTAAACTTTGTCAGTAGAGGGCGCTGGAGGCACCTTGCAGGAGGAAGGAGGCTTCCCTTCCTGGTTCTGGAAGGTGCATGTTTGCTCTGTTTCTGGCTTCCACTGCACACCTGAACAGTGTCCTGGGTGTGTGAGGACGCTGAATGAGTCTCTGCCCCAGTGACCTCACAGTGATCTCACAGCTCTGGTCCAGACCCAGTTGTGATGTGGACACAGACTCCACCCTCGCACTTGCTGACCCTGCCTCTCTCTGAGTTCCTATCCATTGACTGCTGTTGCCAGCACCCCAGAGGTTTGTCTCTTGCAAGCCTCACAGAGCAAACACTGTCTGCTCGGGCAGCCCTCACAGCTGCCCTGACGCCCCATCCCCTCTGGGCCCCTGCCCGCCTTGGTTCACCTGCACAGGTGGAGGGTTGCTTCTGCCTGACTCTGGCCTGGGCGATCCAGCCATTGCCGTCAGCGAGCCACCACCACCCGTCTCCAACACGGTCTGGATCCCAGGCCGGGGAAGGGCTCCCCATCCCAAGCTTTCCCTTTCTCGGACGGTCTCACTCAGCCTCAGAATACCCTTCAGAGCTCTCTTTGCATCTTCCATACACTCTTCCTCAGGAAGTTCCTTGAGGAATATCCCACCAAAACAAAGGAACAAACCAAAAAAAAAAAGGGGGAATAAAAGAGACCTAGCATGCAGGGAATCTAGCACAGGAGAAAGCTTTCCCGAGCCGCTGTGCCACCAGTCCAGAGCCTAGACTGGAGTCTAGACTGGAGCACGAGGATGGAGGGCTCCAGAAGAGATGCCTCCGTGGAGAAATAGGCTTGACGGCTTCTCTGATCCATTTGGCCATGTGCAAAATTGTAGTGAGTGCATTTTAGAAAGCTTTTAGAGATTGTAGGAAGACTTGGCCAAAAAAATCCAAAAAAATAATAATAAAATACAGTAGTTATTAATGCAAGCAGAAACAAAACTTTGGATAAGGTAGCTTATTTATTTATGGCTGTGCTGGGTCTTGGTTGGTGCATGTGGGCCTTCTCTAGTTGCAGTGGGGGCTACTGTCTAGTTGTGGTGCACAGACTTCTCATTGCAGTGACTTCTCTTGTTGCCAAGCACAGGCTCTAGAGTACACAGCCTTCAGTAGTTGCGGCACAAGTGATTAGTTGCCCTGAGGGATGTGGAATCCCTTCCCGGACCAGGGATTGAGCCCAGATCCCCTGCATTGGCAGGTAGATTCCCAACCACTGGACCACCAGGGAAATCCAAGGTAGATTTTAATATTTATAATTTATTTAGCTCAGCAGTAAATGGCATTTACTCACAAGAAGGAAATATTGAATATACTTCACTGTATTTAAAAAAATATATAACAATATTTAAGGAATGGAAGAGAAAGAATGTATGAGACAAAATCCTCATCTACCATAATAGAAAGAAAATTCATAATTTCTAAAATAATCAAGTTAAAGCAGAATGGAGATACTGTCTTATTATTGGTGGTAAATATGGGAAGAAAGAACTAAAAAAGTTCCAATGGCTGCCTCCAGTAGACAGGATGCAGAGAGAAGAAGAAAGAGGTGGGAGGCACTAGTTTTCATTTTTAAAAAGCAGTATTTGGCTCTTTATACTGTGTTCATGCATTGCCCAGATAAAAATACAAAATAAGCTTTTAGAAAAAAGAGAAAAGAAATGAAATCATACATGTGGACTGCTTGACACTTAGTAGGTGTCCAGAATTTGTGAATTCCTTTTCTTCTTTTATTCTCTTAAATCTTTTACCAGTTTTGCTTTCAGTCTACAAGAGTTAAGACTGCCAAGTTCCCCAGGTTATTCACTGCTGGGTCATGCTGGCCTTTGTGTTGGCTTGAGCTTTACCCCTCCGGGCTATAGGCCTCAATCCCTTGCAGGAGGTAGAGGAAGCATAGAGGCGGGTGATGGGAGAGGGGGAGTGTGCTCTGCCCATTGGGATGACCCACAGTTCTAAGCCGCAGTCCCTAGCAGCCATGGAACCAGATTCATGGGGTCTTCATTACTGGTTTCTGTCTACTTGGGGTGGTTCCAGAATGAGACCAAAGTGTCTGCAATTCTCATTGGAGATGGTAGACATATGATCATTCATAATACAGGACAGTGATTGAGAGTGAGATGCCTGTGTTCAAATCCTGGGTCTGCCACCTACAAGGAAAGGGAGCTTAGGCTTCCTTGTGCCTCATGTTCCCCATTCACAAAGTGAGGCTAGTCATATATACTGTACAGAACCACTGAGCGCATCAAAAGAGAGAATCCACGAGAAGTGCTTAAAGCAATACATGACTAACAGATTGTCTTAGTCCAGTCAGGCTTCTTTAACAGAGTAACATAGGCTGAGTGACTTATTAACAACAGAAATTTATTTCCCACAGTTCTAGAGGCTGGAAGTCCACATCTAAAACTTGGACAGATTTGGGGTCTGTTGAGGCCACTTCCTGGCTCATAGATGGCCATCTTCTCACTCTAACCTTACATGGCAGAAGAGGAAGGGAGCTCTTTCTGGAGTCTCTTGTATAAGGGCACTAATCCCATTCATGAGGACTCCACCATCACAACTTCAGTGCCTCCCAGGGGCCCCACCTCCTAATTCCATCATATTGGGGAACAGGTTTCAACATATGAATTTTGAGAGTGGAGGGATACAAACATTCTCTCCATAGAAGAGCTCAGTTTTAAGAAGACCCACTCTTATCACTCACTCATTGATTCTGCAGGTATTTATTGAGCATTTATCTAGAGCTACCATCGTGCTGAGCTTTGGAGATTCCAAGATGATTAGCACAGTCTACCTTCATGGAGCTCACCTCTAGGGGGAAAGACAGCCACTTGAACAGGTTGCTCTAATTCAGTAAGTTGGAGCCATGAGATAATCACCCACAGTATTTTGGGAGCACAGAGAAAGAAGACTGTATATAGGATGGAGCATGGAGACTTGGGGGGTGAAGCTGGGTCCCTTAGGAGGCCCCAAACCAGTCACAAGAGCGAGGCAAACAAGAAAAAATGAATGTCTTAGTCACTCAGTCATGTCTGACTCTGCAACCCCATAGACTGTAGCCCACCAGGTTCCTCTGTCCATGGGATTCTCCAGGCAAGAATACTGAAATGAGTAGCCATTCCCTTCTCCAGGGGATCTTCCTGACACAGGGATTGAACCTGGGTCTCCTGCATGGCAAGCAGATTCTTTACTGTCTGAACCACCAGAGAAGCCCCAAGGCAAACAAAAAGCTGGAGCAATTTGCCAGGGATGAGTGTCTGGCTTGATATAAAATCTGGCCACTAAACCTTGCGTGGTCCTCACTGCCAAGGACTTCTGAGCCAGAAGGCAGGCAAGGCTGACCTAAAAAGAGATTGGCTCCACCTTTTGCAAACCTTTACTTCAATCTCTCCATTCACATTTCCTTGGGATTAAAATGTCACCAGTTAGAGTGCTCTGAGCCTTGCAGCAAGTGCAAGAAGAAAGTATCAGAGAGTTTGAAAAGTACAAGACTTTTCTGTCTAGATAAACTCACCAGGGGATGACTGAGTTTCCCATGAGAGGAATAAGACTGTTTCTCCCCATTTGCTGGGGAGTGGCAAAGCAAAGAAGCTGCTGCCTTATGGTAGCTGCCTCGTCTGCTCTTTCCTAAGGGGAGCCTCATGCATTTGATGCAGTCCAATTTCTCATTGTTCCTGGAGGTTGCTTGAGGGAGTGGGAAGGGCTTGGGCCCTGGATACCATCACCCATGGGTTACAATCCTGCACCCACCATTACTGGTTTTCAGTTAGGGCACTTTACTTTTCTGAGCTTGTTTCCTCCTAGTCCTGTATCTTTTCTGTGTGACCTTGGGAAAGCGAATTCACCTCTCAGCCTCAGTTTGCTCACCTGAAATGTGGGATGTGTTAACTGGAACTCTTTGTTGCAAAAGTAATATAAACTGTTAGTTTCTTATTGCTGCTGTAGCAAAATTACCATAAACTTGGTGGCTGAGCACAACACAGATTTATTATCTGACAGTGCTGGAAGTCAGAAGTCCTAAAATCAAGGTGTTGACAGGTGTCCCTTCTAAAGTCTCTAGAGAAGAACCTGTTTTCTTGCTTTTCCTAGTTAGTGTCTGTCTCTTTCTGCTCTCTCCCCCACCTCCTAACACCAAATTCCCAATGATTGCTCCAGTTTGGAACAGCTTTCCACTCTGGTCCAGTCAGCTGTGAACCAGTTAGACTCACGCAGCACAAAACGGCCGCTGTGGCCAGGTCATTTCTGTCCTTCCAGATGAGTACGGGAACATTCACAGTAGCCTGATAAGCCCTCCACTGGGCGGTGGCAAGTGCTCAGGGAGCCCCCAACAATGAGGAAGAGCTAGGCAAAGGGGACAGGTCTCCCCTCTGTGCCTGCTTTCATGCCTCCTTCCTCCCACTTGTGCCCACAGGCCACAGAAGAGCGCTTGAAGAAGGAATCCAGCCACAGCCTCCAGGTCCAGCACCAGACGCACCGGCTAGAGATGCAGGCCTTGGAGGAAAAGGCCCGGCAAGAGCTCCAAGGGGAGTTAGAGAGGATGCAGGCTCAGCAGGCACTGCTCTTAGGTATGCAGTCAGCTGTGCACCCATCAGGGCTTGGGGCAGCGGGGTGGGGGGTGGTAAGGACCAGGGCGACTCTCCTGGCTCTGCTACCAACCAGCTGCAAGATGTGCATCAGGTCGCACGCAGCCTCATTTTCCTTTTCTATGAAGTAAGGTTGCACTTGTCTCTCCGTCATAGAAGCGTTGTATGGATTTGATGAGATATTAAATATAAAATGCTTAGCATATAAATGAGCCCAGCTAGTGCAGATAATATTGTCATCATTATCTTCATCATCATTACTGAGCATTAGCCAGATCTCAGCCTTCGTGAGAGTTTCATGAGATGGCCTCAAACTCTCATTTCTAAAGATTTCTGTAAATGTGGGGACTTAAGCCCCCAGGATTCTGGGTGTGCCTCTGCTTCTTCCCCTGCCTTCACATTCTCAGCAGGAAGCTCATTTCCTCTTCAGTTTTCACAGGAAAAAAAAGCACAAAGTCACACAAAGCATTCTGGAAGTTTCCAAAGGCAATAAAGATCTCCAAAATCAAATTGCCTGGGCATGAGGCCCAACTCCATTCAATGTGCACTAGCTGTGTGACCTCAGGCGAGTTGCTTGACTGCTCTGTGACTCATTTGCTCATCTGTAAAATGGTAATAATAATAGTATCCCCTTCATTAGGCTGTTATTACAATTACATGAGTCTATACATGGGACGTGCTTAGCATAGCACCTGGTAAATGCTGGGTAAATGTTCACTGTCATTACTGCTGAATATTCCATCTTTGCATGGCTGACTCTGTCTTTTTTTGTAGATCATCTCTCTCCCTCATTTTCTCCTTTACTCTCATCTTCTTTCTCACTCTTAAGAGCAAGACAAATGCCCTCCTTATTTCATGTCTAGCATTAAAGACCATATAGACCTTTTAAAATATTTCTTCAAACCCAGACAGTGCTCTCCTTAAGAGAATTTTCAGAAGAATATTTTCTTTACCTCCATAAGTGAATAAGATCTACTTGCTGTTTGATTTCATTAGACAGTATGACCTGCTCACTGCATGTCAGCACATCAGCCCTGCATGTTTCCAGATGAAGGAGAGAAACAGTCCCACACATTTCCCAGTTAGCAGCTACCCTGGAATGGGGGTGGCCACGTGGGAAATGCCAAAGATTTGGCATCTTAAGAAGACACATTATACAAGTTAAAACCCAGGTTGTACCACACTTCCCAGAAACCAGACTCCCCAGACTGAGATCAGGCTGGACACCCCTGATGAGTCTAAAACCCCACAGCAACCATCCTTGCTGCCCTGTCCCTGACCTCTCTGACCCCACAGCAGCCTGGCCCTTACTTGGATGAAAGATTCCAGAGAGACCCTGAGGATAGACTGGCATGCTCAGCACAAGTCCCAGGAAGAAGGGGTTTTGTGGACTCTGTAATGATGATAGCAAATCATGGGCTTTGTGGGTGGCATTGGGTGGGTGGGAGCACAGACCACCACAGTGTGATACTAGGACTTCCTGGTCCAAGTTACTCCTTTTCCATCATCTGTGTGAGACAGACCTGACATGCAGCATAGGTCACTGTGTGAGCAGCAGGAAGGGTGAGTGTCCACTAGATTACCTGACATACTGGGGTGGGTACCTGGACATGCTGGATGAATAGGTGGATGGGCAGGTGGATGGATGGGGGTGTGGATGGGTAAATGAATGGATGGTGAGAAAATATGAGAGAAGAGGGGCAGGTAATGAATGAACCCTCTGTAGTTCATGCTTTGCTAGAGGGTTTTATTACACATATTTTTGTGATAAAGAATTTCAAAAATTGGATTGTGTTTAAGCTATAGAAATCACTCCATTAAAATCCTACAGGAGAAGGAAGATGATGATGAGATAAATTTTTCAACATAATAGCATCAGAATAATTAAACTTTTATATGTGTTTAAATACTGTCCTTTCAGGGAAGCACAGTAAACTTGTGGGAAATCTTTTACAACTGGGACACTTTCACAATATCACTAATTTTCACTCTGAACATCTTTGATTTATTTTACAAATATATGTTGAGCACTTGCTCTATACTAAGTCCTGTACTATGTATCTTATGGCCTCTGGGATTATCGGAGCAATGTTTCAAAAGTAATTTGCAATAACTAAAGTATAAAGTCTCAAAAGTCCATAAAGGAAAATAAAGTATCAAATTTACTAGCACTTGAAAATCATATTCTCTTTAAAAATTAATAGCTCACTGAATACTGTCTACTCCATCAGAAAATGTTCTTTTTGAAATGATTATTTTATTTGCCTTTTGATCATGCTGGGAAGTGTCACACTAGCAGAAATCACCCACAATCCTCAGAAGAGAAATTGTACTTCCTGGTTGTACTGGTCCCTGAGTTAAGGAGGGCATGTACATTTCTCCTGGATGATTCTGGTTTTCATAATGACTCTGTTGGGATGATATGCCACCCCCTCCCTGCTGTCCACAATCCAGCTAGGAACTTATATCCATGAGAAGTAGAACCTGATTGTCTGTCTCCTTGAGAATTAGCACAAATGTATGTCACCATTTCCAATTTGAGACCTGTACTTCAAGAAGAGGCCACTGGGGTCATGTGCTAATTCTCTGTTCTTAATTTTCTGTCTTGTTGCTGAGGCCAAGTGTTGCCTCAGGGTTCAGCTCTGGATTCAGGCTGTCCCACCCCCTATCCTAACCAACCAGCAATGGTTAAGCAGATGATTCTGAGTGAAGAAGAACCATGGAAAGTGTTGAATCCTGACACTATCACTTATTAGCAGAATAGCTCTGGGCTGCTGAGCCTCTCTGAGGCTCTATTCCTTCGTCATAAAGTGGGAGGGATAATACTGGATAGGATGGTTGTAGGGTTTCACTGAAAACACTTTTTAAGGGCTTAACATATTTAGTACTATAAATGGTATTATTGTTGCTGTGTTCTCTTGAAATAGGTAAGTTTGGGGAACTTGAACCAACACCTACAGCTGCTCGCCACCCTAGCCCACCCTAGACTTTGGCCTCAGCACGCCCCTGACCTGCCACTGCTCTTCCTTTTGCAGAGTCCCTGAGGCAGGAGCTGGCAGAGCAGCGGGCTGCCTGCTCTGAGCACCAGAAGGACTTGGAGGTTCTGCAGACCGAGCTGAGGGCCCTGGAGAGCATGGGCAGACGGCAGGCCATCACCCAGTGTCCAGGGGACAGCGAGGACCGTGCTGGGACTTCAGAGGTCAGCACCCCTGCCCTGCCCACACCCTTCTTGGAGCAGCATCAGGGAGAGGTTCCAAGTGCTCTTTTACCTCCTGTCCTTCCACAGGCCTGGGGGATACTTGATGAGCCTGCAGACTCATCAGACTTGTAAAGCAAAAACAAGTTTTGAGTACAACCTGTTATTTTAAATTCAGATGAAATAGCATCTCAGAGTGTTGGTGACAGACAGGCCCTAGAGACAGCCCATCTGAGTCACTCCATGGACCTGCACAGAATTTCTCAGAATACCTCCCCAAACAGACTCCTGTCTCGATGGCCCTGTTCCCATGAGTGGAGGCTGCCTTCCTGTCACCGAAGCTCTGAACTTTCTGGTGAGGCTTGGCCCATCATTTTCCTCCTTGCCCATCCATAATTCCTACCTTGCTGGGTAGCACAGGGACCCCCTCACAAGCCAGACATCTCTCCCCAGCCTACCACAGTGGACCTCAGGTATCCATCTCAGGCACCTCTGTGTAAAGCCTTCAGGCTCCCTGCTGCTATCAGAATAAGCTCCCAGTGCCCATTCTGTTGTTGAAAAGCCTTCACCCACTGGCTGTGTTTCCCTCTCTGCTCTAAACGTGGCCTCTGCCTCCTGCCGCAGTGCCTCTGCATGTGCCCGGCCCCCTGCCTGGGACCCCTCCTCCCTTTTCAGTGCCCAGCTGATCCTTCCAGGCTGGGGGTCTCCCATCCAAACCCATGACTTCTCCGCACCCTCTGAGCGCCTGGAGCACTTCCTGTAGCTACAGCTCAGCTGGCACCCGCATCTACTGCCTGTCCTGTTAGGGACCCATCACTACATGGATATCCTTGTTTCCTCGACCAGACTACGAGTCCTTTAAGAACAAGCCATGTCTGCTCCATCTCAGTCCACCCAGCCCCAGCACTTGGCACACAGTTCTGCACATAGTAGAGTCTCCACCAGGGTACAAATGGCCATAATTAGTTGGTGTCCCAGCCCTGCTGAAGATCGAAGGAACGTGGGGATCATTCATTCCAGATGTTGCTGGTACTGAGAACCTGTACACAATTTCTGTGTTGAATGAGAATTATCAACAACTGATATATCACAGAGAGTTCAGCTCAGTTGGTAAAGTCTAGCAGAGGGAAAACAACATGATCCGTTAAATGTTCTAGATTGGTGGGAGCCACCTGGACCTATGGTAGGGGACACGGGAAGTGTAGGATGGTGACAGCTGGTGGCTGGAGGGTTCAGTGACAGGCCCACTGCAGTGAATGACAGGCTTTCCTGAGGGCTATGGATAGAGACTCAGGCTGGGTAGATGAGACAGTAGCTGGTCATCAATGTGCCGGCCTCACCTACATCTCACTGGAGGGAAGCCCTGAACCCTCAGGGAGAAACAGCAGACCCTGGGTGATCTCCCACACAGAGAAGAAGTGTATTCATAAGAAGGGACAACTTCAGGCAGCAGGAATGAAGGGGCGGCAGCTGGGGGGGCAGGCAGAATATAAGGATGCAGTCTCAAGGTGGCTGCCACTGCAAGTAAGTGGTGTTCCATCCACTGGGGTCTTCTGAGAGCCCAATGAAATAATTCTCAAATCTGTCCCAGCCAAGGACAGAGAGGGATGGACTTACCCGTCAACTTCTCTCCCCCTGTAGTCAAGGGTGGCCCCACAGAACCTTAACTGAGCCCTTCTGGGTCATGCAGATGTGAGTGCCAGGTAGTGCCAACGAGTGTCCCACACCATGTGCACCCCAGGGCTGGAAGCAAGAAGTATGAGGCCTGGGCCACACATGCCCCCTCTGCAATGCTTTTTGGTCTATGTGTGGCAGGAACAGGTGCACAAACCTTCAGGCATGTTTGCGTGGCCTTGAAAACTGCTACATTCACCAATTGGAGATTAACTGTGCCCCCATTTAATGTTGGACATAGATCCTTATATTTCTGTCTGAACCTTGGCATTTCAAGCATCATTTCACAACAGGGATTCATTAGGCACCTACTGAATCCCAGACTCTGTGCTAGGTGGTATAGAATTGGGAAGATTGAAGTGGAGATGGCTCCTTCCTTTTCTCCACCTGCTGGTCTGATAGAGAAAAACAGCACTTCAGCAAATCAGTGCACTTCTATGTAACCTCTACACAGATGGGATCTGGCTCTCAGAGAAAAGAAAGCGTGTTGCCTCTCCCCCAAGGAGATGAGAAGGTATCACCAAGGCAGGAATGATTGGGTGTGGAAGGCACCCTAGGTAAAAAGACGGGCGAGGGCAAGTGTGGGGCAGTGGATTATAACTGTGGTGGCCTCAGAATCACCTGGGAAGCTTTCTCAGAAGACACAGGGCTGAGATGTATAGACTCACTGTTCCAGAATCTTGGGAGGAGGTGTGATAGATCGTTATTGTTCAGCAAATGTTCACTCTCCCCTTCCTCCGCCCTCTGTGGTCTTGCCCAAATTTACATGTTGAAGCCCTAATCACCAGTATGATGGAATTTGGAAATGAAACCTTCGGGGGATAATTAGTGAATTCGTGTCCTTACAAGAAGAGACACGAGACATTCCGCCCCCGCCCCCCCCCGCCGCCGCCACCCCCCACCCCCCGCCAACACATAGACTCCACAGAGGTGGAGTGTTGGGCTTGTTTTGATTTAAGCCACATTCTTGGCTCACCAGCATCATTCGACTTTTCGAGAGCCAAATTTGGCCAACTCTCAAAGCTGAAAACTTCAAGAGGTTAGACATGAGCTCCTGAATCAAGTGCGGAATTTGGGCTCCAGGCTGGGTCTTTGCCGCGGTACATCTGTGGCCCTTGTCTGCCATTGAGCCTCCTGCAATCGGTTCTTCTGGCTGCTTTCTCCCCAGGAGGAGGGCGGCCCGGGCCAGGCGGGCTCCCCCAAAGGCAAGAGCGCAGCGGAGCTGCAGCCCAGCGAGGGATGCGGCCTCCGGGAGGAGAACTCGCAACTCAAGGAGGCAGTGAGGCGGCTGCAGGCCGAGGTGGAACAGCACCAGCAGGAGGCGCTGCAGCTCCGCGACCAGCGCAGGTCGGTCTGAGGCTCCCAGCTTCCCTCCCTCCCTCCCTCTCTCCCTCCTCTGCCCCTTCGCGAGCCTCTGGGATGTAAGATTAGGTTCCGCCTTCGGCATCTTCCCAAAGAAAAGACTCCCTAGTACGCCGGGACTTCACTGGTGTTACTCCTTTGACCCATGGAAGGTATCAGTGGTCTAGGAATTCTAGATCTCAAAACTGCAGAGGATAAGCCCTGAAGTAGATGGAGGGGTTGATGCTGGATTTACCCTATTTCCCTACAAATCAGGAAGTGTATGGAGTCAAACTTAATAATACCAAAAATATCCTTAAAACCAGCCTTAGGGAAACGGTGCAGTGGCATAGTTTAAAAGACAGTGCTGTGGTCCTATTAATAGCTGTGTGACCTGGGCCAGTCTGCCAACCTCTCCTACCTGTAAACTGTAGGAAAGACTACCTCTCTTGGGGCTATTGTAGATGCAGTGAAACATATAGGAAGATGCTTACCATGGACTGACCCTGGTACTTGGTAAATTGTAGTGATAACTATGATTTTCTTATCTAGGTTGGATAGTCCTTTTTACATCCTGAATTCATAGCCTTTTTTCACCTTGATGGAAAGTTTATAACTACAACTTTAATTTTGTTAATGGATATGGGACTTTTCAGGTTATCTGTTTCTTCCTGAGCAAGCTTTGGTAATTTGTATCTTTGAAGGCACTTATCCATTTCATCCCAGTGTTTGAATGTCCCAGTTCCCAGCATAAAGTTCAAGTGAAAGTAGGCCTGAGCTTATCTGAGGAACAGCCATGAACCCACCTGGCCAAGGTGGAGCAACTTAAATTCAGTTAGGGACTCACCATGTAACACTGGGATAAGGACACTGGACCAGAGTAGGGGTTCCTAATCATTTCCGGTTACAGCTTCCTCCAGATGAGGAAAGCAACAGTCCCTCTCCTGGAGGAGGGTATCATCACACAAAAATATGCATGTACTCTTGGAGGGTGTCAGGCCCTTCAGTCTGGTCTGCGGATCCCTTCATGCCCCATCCCAAGGTTAAGAAAAGTGAAGAAAAGCTGATGGTCGAATATATACTTTGTGCCACGGGCTGTCCTGGACATGGATTAACATGGTTCATCCTTGCAATAACCCTACAAGGTAGCCCCTATTGTCAGTCACGTGGAGAAACTGAGCCAAGCCTAGCTTGCTCAAGGTCACACAACTCGGAAGTGATGGGGGAGGTCATGGATGGACACTGGTAGCCTAAATGCTGTCCTCCTAGCCCCTCTCACACCCTGCCTTTCCAGACTGCAGGTCTTCCAGCTCTCAGAGTCCCAACAATCGACAATTCTGATAAAGAATCTCAGCCTCCAGGCCTCCCCACCTGCTTCAAGTGAAAGGAGTGTTTTCTGGGACTCCTTTCCTGAGCTGTCCTCCCACCTTTCCCCTTGAAGGCTGCCCTTTGTGCTCAGGTCCTTCATGGAATGCTGGGGTGGAAGATGCTGAGAAGGTGTCCCATGAGATGGGTTTATCCTGGTCCCACAACTCAGAGAACCCAGGTCTCCTTCCCACCATGTCCTGACCTCAGATTCTGCAGGCCACCCAGCAGAGTGGGGAGAAACTCCAGTCCCCTAGAAGTTCAGTTGCTAGAGCCTGGGCAAGCCCAGCTGTGCTTCTCCTCCCCCCACCCCCCACCTCTACCCCTCCAGGCTGCTGGAGGAGGATCAGCAAGCCCAGCGGGCCCGGGAGGTGGAGATGCTGCGCCAGGAACACCGGAAGGAGATGCAGGCCATGGTGGCTGATTTCAGCAGTGCTCAAGCCCGGCTCCAGGCCCGGCTGGCTGCCCTGGAAACTGAGTAAGTGAGGCTTTGGCCCCAGGCTGGGAGGGACTTGTAGATGTACCATTTTGTTAGGGGGACCAACTCATCCCAGTGTCCCTGGGACTCTCCTAGTTTTAAAACTAGAAGTCCTGAGTTCCAGAAGCTCCTCAGTTCCAGGCAAACTGGGAAGGTTGGTCACCCATCCTTTTAGGAGAGACAACATTCCTATCTCATGCAGGGCACCATTAATCTGTGAGGAATGAGCACGGTTTAACCCTCACACTTGGAAGAAATCAGAAGGATCAAGGCTGCTTTTTTTATGAGCATTTCCCCCTCTAATATGCATCATCTCATTTAATCCTCACAGAAATTCTTTTTTAAAAATTTATTCATTTATTTTAATTGGAGGCTAATTACTTTACAATATTGTATTGGTTTTGCCACACATTGACATGAATCAGCCATGGGTGTACATGTGTTCCCCATCCTGAACCCCCCCCCCACCTCCCTCCCCATCCCATCCCTCAGGGTCATCCCAGTGCACCAGCCCTGAGCGCCCTGTATCATGCATTGAACCCGGGCTAGTGATCTATTTCACATATGATATATACATGTTTCAATGCTATTCTCTCAAATCATCCCACCCTTGCCTTCTCCCACAGAGTCCAAAAGTCTGTTCTTTACATCTGTGTCTCTTTTGATGTCACAGCAGTTCTTAAGGGTAGAAGCTTATTCCCATGGACAGATTAAGAAACCAGGAGCCCTTCTTGCAAACATTCATTTATTCATTCAACAAATATTTGTTAAGAGCCTTCTGTGTGCCTTGCACTGTTTTAGGTTCTGGGGTTACAGTGAGAATAAAACAAAAACTGTGCTCTCATAGCACTCACAAATTCTAGATGGAGATTCTGACAAAGAGTAAGCAAACAAATGTTAAACTTCATAACAGATAGTGAAGATGCTATAAGGAAAACAGGATCAATATCTGGAGTGCCAAGGGTGGGCATGGAGGTGACATTTAAGCATAAGGAGGCATGGAAATGAGAGCGACATTTGGACAAAGAGCTTTCCAATCAGACAGAACAGCAAGTGCAAAGGCCTGCCTCCCAAGACCAAACAGCCAGAAGGCTTAAGTGGAATGAGAGAGCGATGGTAGGAACTGAGCTTGGCAGAATAGCTGGGAGGGCTAGAGAAGATGCCTCACTGAGAAGGGGTTTGCGTGTATTTGTGTGGAGTGAATGGGAATCATTCACTCAGAAGCAAGGGCTTCTGATTCACCTTTTAACAGGGTCATTTCTGACTGCTGAGAGGAGAAGAGACTGGGGGATCAGGGTTAGTGACAAGGTGACCAGGTCAAGCAGCACTAAATAACTTTACATGTCACCTGTCTTACCCTTAACTTGTGCTTTTAAAAACTGTCCCCAACTGTCTCCAATATAAAGCCAATCATCCAAAATCTGAAGTAGGTTTTACCGTCTACCATCTAGTGGGTTCTTACCATGTGCCAGGCACATTATCTCATTGAATCCTTACAACCATCCAGTTTCATGCCCATTTTAAAGAAGGAACTGAGGGTTATGGGCAAAATACCCATTACACAGCTAGAAAAAAGCAGAGCTGGGTTAAGAGTCCAGGTCCTCTCACCCCAAAACCCTAGCCTCTTATCAACTAATCAGTGGACCACCTGCAGCCCCCCTCCCTCCACCACCATCCAGAGGTTATGTCTCTCCAGCTTCACATTGAAAGGGCTGTGGGTACCTGCTGCCCCCCATTTTGCAGAACTAGCTCATGCCATGCTCTCTGGCCGCCAGGAGATGGCAATGGAACCACATCTGTATTAGCACAACCTGCTGTCCTTGCTAGCAGTGGGGACATTTGCCAGCCAAGGCCACTTTCCCCAAACTTCCCTGGTTCTTGAAGCCCCAGTGAATGTGGCATCTATGTGCACAGATCTTTGATTCCTGGGCCCTACAGCCCAGGAATGACACATGTCAGACTGGGAGTTGGGGTCCTGAGCTCCATCCACCCAGAGCTCTGCAACCAATTCACTGGCTGACCCTGGGCCTGTTTCCCCTTTGGTGAACAGAGAGTGGCCAGCCAGGCCAAGCACATGGCATCATCCCCATCATGTCCACATCTCCCTCCTCGCAGTTGAGTCATTGCAGCACGGGAGCTAACTGCATGCCTGCTTGAAACAGACTGAAAGATTCCGGAGAGAAGCCAGGGAAGGGGGCATCCAGGCCAGAGGACATTCAGCTCATAGGCCGTCTGCAGACCCGCTTGAAGGAGAGGGAGGAGATCATCAAGCAGCTCACGGTGAGGCTTCAGGGGCGTTTGCTTTAGCCTGGCACTTCCCTGGGGGCCTAAAACTGTATTCCTGATAACCTGAAAACCACCTTACAAAAGGTCCTTGGATATTGTTTCCCTGTTGTATAAAATAATACATGCTCACTAGAAAAAATTAACACAGGAAAGTAGAAGGCAAAAAATAATCACTCTGCTCCCAAGTCCTACACCATCTGCCTGATGTTGGTATTGGTTTGTGTTTTGCTAACCTATAGAATTTCGGAAAATCTAGAATGACCTGGCAGAGAAGGCAATGGCACCCCACGCCAGTACTCTTGCCTGAAAAATCCCATGGACGGAGGAGCCTGGTAGGCTGCAGTCCATGGGGTCGCGAAGAGTCGGACACGACTGAGCGACTTCACTTTCACTTTTCACCTTCATGCACTGGAGAGGGAAATGGCAACCCACTCCAGTGTTCTTGCCTGGAGAATCCCAGGGAAGGGGGAGCCTGGTGGGCCGCCATCTATGGGGTCGCGCAGAGTCAGACATGACTGAAATGACTTAGCAGCAGCAGCAGCAGCAGCAGAATGACTTGGACCTCACATCTGTGCCTCCTCACACTTTGACCATTGCTTTAGGCTTTTGTCCAGGCTTCCTGTGCTCCACACTTTGGTTGAAAGTTCTCTATAAGCCAGCTCCCAGTGGTTTACATTCAGCTCTGGAGACGTTGGGTGATACACACTTCCATCAGCGTGGCCCGTATGGGTCAGCTAGTTAGCCACATGAGAAGTCCAGCCACTTCCCTGGGTCTCTCCCTTCACCACCTTGGTGCAGGCCCCACTGCCTCTTAGGAATGGTGGAGAGTCCTTTGGTCTCCCCACTCACTCCAGCCTCACCATACTCTGTTGACCTCACAGCAACCAGGGTAATCTTATTAAAATGTAAGACAGATCACAGCACAGCTCTATTCAGTACTACCTATGGCTCCCTGTTCTTCTCAGAGTAAAATCTATGGTCTTATAGTGGCTTACACAGCTACACATCCTCCCACAACACACACATATACTTGTATCTCAAATTCATCCTTGCACCCTCTTGCTCCCCAGGCACACTGTTTCATGTCAAGATGATGAGGAAAACTTAACCACTAACTGAAAATTAGATGATACTAATAAGGAATTGGAGAAGGAAATGGTGACCCCCTCCAGTATTCTTGCCTGGAGAATTCCAGGGACAGTAGAGCCTGGCAGGCTACAGTCCATGGGGTCCCACGGAGCCGGACTTGACCAAGTGACTAACACACAATAAGGAATTGCTTGTTTGTTAAGTGTGACAAAAGTATTGTGGTTTTGTTTTGTAGAGTCCTTATCTCTTAGAAATACTTATCAATGTTTTTACAGATGAAATTATACACCTGGAACTTATTTTAAAAACAAGACATCTGGGAAGAAAAAAAGTGGAAAATAACACAGATAAAGAAGATTGACCATATAGTGATTGCATTTTTGTTTAGTCACTAAGTCATGTCCAACTCTTTTGGACTGTCCAACCCCATGGACTATAGCTCACCAGGTTCCTCTGTCTGTGGAATTTCCCAGGCAAGAATAATGGAGTTGGTTGCATTTCCTTCTCAGATCTTCCTGACTCAGGGATTGAATCCACATCTTTGGCATTGGTAGGCAGATTCTTTACCACTGAGCCACCAAGAAAACCCATATAGCAGTTGTACCTGGGTGTTTTTTATTTTGCCTTAGCTAATAAATTTTTGCAGTAGACTTTTCCCAGATGCTAAGACTACCTGGATCTCTGATTTCCCTAAGGCATGCCAAATAAGCTTGTCCTTTCCTTTACAAGAGGGGCTGGGGACACAAAGGCCCCAGAAATAAAGGTGCTTCCTCAAAGCCTCAGTGGATTGTAATTTGATTCCCACTGACTTCCCCTCTTTTCCCTGGTTTTTCCTCGTCTCTGTAATCTGCCCTCACACAGCCATCTTCCTTCAAATCAAACTCAGTGTGCTGTGTAGTTAGGCTCATTTAGACTCAGTCGTATTTTTTCCAGGAGGAGAGAAGATTTCACTATGCAGCGTTCCCCAGCGCAATGTCCCATCGGAATAGATCCTTCTCTTTCAATCCTCACCCAGGGTATTTGACCCCTTCCATGAAGGTAAATTGGTCCTACTGGTTTCAATGCATTACATAATTCTGCTGGCTTTATTTTCCCCAAAGATAATGGTAGCTTATTTATCAACAATCTGGCATTCATTTAGATAAATATTCATTGAAAATAAGGCCCCCAGGAAATAGTCCAAATTACTAGCAAACTGTTTATATCTGACTAGGCAGATTATATATATTTTTTATTTTTATGAGTTTTTTTAACTTTCCAAACTTTTTATATATGTGTCACTACTAATAGTGGCTATATCTTGGTGATAGGAAGGAGAAGGAGAAGGGCAAGAACCCTTCACTTCACCTTTTTTCTCCTTTTATATTTTTGGAATGTATTACAGTGAAAATATTCACATCCAAATTTCTCATCTGCTGTCACAAAATCCTAAAGCACTAAAAAGTTTATATTTTTTTGGTAATTCATTAACTCCAGCTGAATTCATGTGAGCTCATTTATAATTTTTATATATCCCTCTTCATGTGACAAAATGTAAGTTTCATTCCAGAAATATTAATGTATTGATGACAGTGTGGGCCAGCTTCTGCTGAGGTTGCCTTTTAAAATCTAAAAAACTTCAAATTAAAAAATATATTTGCTGCCAGAAGTTTTGGATAGAGATTGTGAGCATGTTTTAAAGCACAACTAAATGCTTTAAAAAAGAACATGTAATAGATAGGTAAAAGTATTGTCTCTTGCTCACGTAATTCTGGCATGGCAGGCTCACCTACTTTTACAGTAATGCTGCTTTTAAGTGGCACTAACAGGCCTTTCCTTTAATCCCAACAGAAGAAGAAGGTGGAGGAAGTGCCCAGCCGAGTGGTCAGTGTGCCTAACCTCGCTTCCTACGCCAAGAACTTTCTGAGTGGTGACCTGAGCTCCAGGATCAGTGCCCCTCCGATAACTAAGTCACCCAGCTTGGACCCAGGTCCCAGCTGTGGCCGGCCCTACAAACCCACCCCATCTCTAGATGTGAAAACTGCCACAAGGTAGGGGGCCAATGCTGGGCTTCCCAGGTGGCGCTAATGGTAAAGAACCTTCCTGCCAATGCAGGAGATAGAAGAGAGGTGGGGTTGATCCCTGGGTTGGGGAAGATCTGGAGAAGGGCATGGCAACCCACTCCAGCATTCTTGCCTGGAGAATCCAATGGACAGAGGAAGCTGGCGGACTATGATACATAGGGTTGCAAAGAGTCAGACACTACTGAAGTGACTCAGCGTGCATGCAGAGGGCCAAAGCTATGATTCCATTTTTCTGTAGCCAGGACGGAAATTAGAATTCCCTTCTGGCACCTGTTAAATACCCAGCATTTGGGCCGATACAAAGAATAACAAAACAAGCCTTGCCTTGGACAAACTGCAGCTCAGCCAAAAAGAAAGTTTATCTATGAGAAAGGAAATAGGTCATTCTTTAGAAGAGATAATATTCCTGATAAAAAATTCCAGAAAGCCTCTTTTTTTTTTTTTTTTACTTTTCCATGGATGAGTAGACAGGGGACACTGAATCACTTAGCTGATCACTTCAGAGTGGTTCACGCAAACAATGGGCTGTTGTCATCTGGCCTTGAGTCTGGATTCAAATTCTGGTCCTGCTCATTCTTAGCTTGTGTGGCTTTGGGCAGCTCACTTGACATCTCTGTTTCCTTACCTCTAAAATGAAGATAATATACCACCTACCTCTTCAGACTCATGTGAAACTAAAGGAATTAATCCATAGGACATGCTTAGCACAAGACCTGGCATAGAAGCATTCAGCAATTTTCCACTATTATTAAAAGGTTATTTCTCAAGATTCATTATATAATCTTGTAATTTTAATCTTAATCTGTGGGTTTGGTTGATCTCATATGGTGCTCTCTGATACTGCTTTGTTTTCCAGAAACTCTTGCAGCATGCTTCTCTTCCAGAAGTGTGATTTCCCCTGTTGTTGATTTTCCTTCTTGGCCAATTTTTGTTCAGAGCTAAATCTTTAATTATGGACTTTGGAGTTTGATTTTCAGAAGAGGCCTCTTCTGAAATGTTCCTTTTCCAAAGGCCCTGTCTGCCCAAGGCTATTTGGACAAAAATGAATGTGGAGCTGAAGGACCCCCTGCCAATCATTGAGCAAGTCCAGCCCTTTGTTTCGCAGCTGAGGATACTGAGGCCTAGAATCCCAAGCACATGGTCTATTAACTGCCAGAGCCAGAGCTGGCCTGATCCTGGCCACTGTTCATAACTCATTATCACACACCTTTTTAAAGCTGTGTTCCCACTGTTTTATAAGAAGCTTCACAAGTACAGATAGAGACTGTTCAGATAGGTAAACACTGTACTTACTTATCATCTCTCTTTTTCAGTTTATTAGACTAATTTCACAGCCTCATTTAAAGGCCAGAGCACATTAGGTAACTTTTGAAGAGGCCATAAAGTGTAATTTTGTATTCATTAACCATTTCTTCTTTTACTTTTTTTTGAAAGGGGTTTATTGTTTAATTTGTCCCTGAAATAAATAGTAAGTGTTGCGGACTTCTCTGGGAGCCAGAAGTTGAGTCCACCTGTCAGTGTAGGAGACATGGGTTCAGTTCCTGGTCTGGGAAGATTCCACATGCCATGGGGCAACAAAGCCCATGCACCACAGCAAGAGAAGCCACTGCAATGAGAAGCCTGCACACTGCAACTAGAGAGTAGCCCCTGCTTGCCACAACTAAAGAAGGCCCCCGTTCAGCAAGACCCAGCTCAGCTATATATACATACATATATATATATATATATTTTTTTTAGGACATATATATAGCTTTAGGCCATATATATCTCAGCTATATATATATATATTTTTTCTTTTAAATAGTAAATGTTGCAAACTATGCCTCATTCCTTTTAAGTGAAATAATGGAGAGCACTGTTTCCATAACAGAATTAGATGCTCTCTCTTCATCCTCATCCTTCACAACTTTTTCTAGCTACTGATCTTTTGAAGAGTAAAGCAGTAGTTATCTTTCACTGAAAAGATGATGGCATATTAATTTGTTTACTGAATAATTTTCAAAACCATCTAAGAAAACTTGTTTGTTTTTAGGACACAAGATGATGATACAGCCCAACCCAAAGAAGTCCAACAGAAGCAAGGTTCAGCTCACCAGGAATGGTTTACCAAATATTTTTCTTTCTAAACTGATCCTTGGGAAAGCATAAAGAGGATATTTGAAAAACATTTCTTTTGAAACACCTGATTGAAGGAATGAACTAAAGAGTCAACCAATCAAATAACTTGCTTGCAATATGATTTACATATATAGCTAAAACAAATTCTTACATTAACATTTCATACTGTTTCATTGTGATGTTAAGATGAAACAAGCCAGTGTTTTCAGAAAGCACCCATAGGGAAATATTATGAATGTTACTGATGACCTATACATATTTCTAGTGTCCATAAGATTGCACACCACCTTGTGGAATATCAGACTTTGTGCTTTCCACGGTCTACTTTGAAAGTGGTTTCATTTTTCCTAGGATGCTGATCATCTTTACTTTAAACTGTTTCTATGTAAATAATTCCAAAATGCACACATAACCTCAATAGGAAGGGAAATAAAGCAAAGCTCAGAATAACCAGGAAAGTCGTTTTTAAAAACCAAACCAAACTACTATGAATGGACTATAGCAGAAATTAGCATAGTTGGATCAAATATTTTGACTTCCTAAGTCCAGGACATGAAGATTACAGAGGATGTAACACCTACCTCAAAGGGGCTTTTTGAGGTTTAAACAAAATATGGGTAATAATTCTAATCATGAACTGGAATTAAGCCTTGCCAGGATTTTTCTGTGAATAATGGAGCCTCACCCTGTCATACATCTCGACCTCAATGAATGTAGTATCAGTTTGATTGTTTGTGATGGTTTCTAGACTATCTGTTCTTTGAAGTCAAAGACCTACTAAACCTCTAGTCTTGCCTCGTGGTGCATTGCTTCCCCACTGCATGGATGCTCAGTAGATTAAAGGGAAATGGGAATGGCTGTTCAGTGCTGACCTTGCTGTCAGTCAATGATGAGTTGTCTGATCCTCTGATGGAGCACTGCAATTTAACAAACTCAATACAGCTTTCGGTGGGAAAAATATATTCTCAATCCTTTGGTGCTGGCCCAGCGGGTGGCCTATAAACAGTTGTCTATTCCTTGCACTGTCAAATCTTTGCTCTCTGAATAAAACTTTAAACAACTGGGCAATAAAAATGGTTGTGACTTGTATTGATTTTTCAGAGGTGAAATTATACAAAGGCTGAACTTGGAAACAGGGACTTCACATTAACCTCAGTCAGATCATCTTCAATAAAATGGAGCTACTCATGCACTTGGATCATTTTGAGAGAAATGCAATTACAACTCAGACTCACAATTTGAAAGTAAATTTACTACCTAATTAAAACATGTAGCCCAATAACATACTTTTTTTAAATGCAAATACTTATTACCATCTGTGTAACATGCCCTGTTACTTTTCAGTATCAAGTATTTTTAAATTTTATTTCCTGCTTAAGGTAACATTATAGGATAGTGTTCTGTGTTTTTAAAAACACATACAGGTAGTACATACAGGTAGTTCATTTTTTGTTGAAATATTTTCCCACCACTGTGCAACTCCTGATGACTAACAAAGGAGGCTGTTTAACTCGGCATAACACATGCTACAGAGATAGAATTTTATTGAGACCCCCACATCAGTTTTAACTCCTTGTTGTATGTGACTAAAGATCATGCTAAATTTCAAGGTTATACACAAATAATTATCTTTGCTAAGTACATCTTGGCATGCATCTATCATTTTTTCTTTAGGACATATTCCTTGAGTATTGAAATAAAGCGTCAAAGGATATGCCTAGGCTTTTTGTGTAATACTACCAAATTACCAAAAAGTTTCTAGCAATTTACACCTTCACCAGCAGGGAATGAAATTCTCCCTCTCTGTACCCTAAATGATAATGATAAAGAAATTTGAGAGAAAACATTCTTGTTTTCTTTTGCATAATCTGGTTCCATTCATCTCTCAAGAGCAGAGTGGTCTAGAGATGATGGGGATGGCTTGGAGGTTAACAGCAGACATTAAGAGAAATGAACTGATTCAGAATTGATTTAGGAGGAAAACAGGGTCTCTCTTTAGGCTATATTATAACAGAGAGGAGGAATTAACATATTCCTGGAACAAAACTGGAAAGGAACATTTTCCAGTTGCCAACTCTTTCTTCACTGGGGGAGAAAAGAATGAAGTCGTCCAATCAGCAGTTGCACACTACATACCTGAGCCCTTATTACTGCTCCAGTGTCATTGCAACAGCAGGTGCAACTGAGGCTGTTTGCTATATACTCGGTCTCCAGCCTCTACCTGGATTCTATATGGTCTAGTCTGGGAAAGTAAACGGAGCTATGATTGGGACGAGTTTCCTAGCATCCTTCAGGTTTCTAAGAAAAGCACTAATCTCCACCATCCCCCAGGTGCAGCACTGGTTTTGATCTGCTGCCTCCTACTAGCATCTCAGCTGTGTGTTCTCCCCCTGCAGGGGATAACCAAAGATGCCCCAGGAACTCAGAGGCCTTTGAGCATTAAAGTTATTCTGTCATTGTCCCCTTTGCTGCGAGTCGAGACAGTGGAGTGTTAACCAGTCAACTCCACCGTTCTTATACGCAACATTGAATCTGTGCATTGACAAAAGTTCCCTTCCACTGGGACACTTGCCCAGGGCAGCACTGGTAAAATCAATAATGAGGCCACCCTCTTGTGCTGGTGACTGGACCTCACATCCCACTCAGGATGTATCTTCCTGCCAGTTGGACAGTGAGTGAGTCAGTCTCCAACCTCACCGTCCTGTCGATTCTCTCAGACCGTGCTCACAGCAGCATGTCAGTCACACCCTCCAGGAGGTATACACTGAGACAGCTGGAGGAGCAAAGACCACCAGACACCTAGCTACAGGTGAGTGAGTTGCGTTTATTATTTGTTGGAACAGAGGAAGAATGTCCATCATGAAGAATCCTGGGGCCTCTCAGAGTGTTTTAGAAAGATCCTACTTTAAGATTTTGGCATTGGATACTTTCAAGGAGGTTCTAAAAGAGCAGGGCTTCACTCCAAACTGGATGCTGTCAGAAAGGAGAGGAGGCTCTATGGCTGGGTCTTATCTTACTCCAGTAGTCATATACAGATGTGAGGGCTGGGCCATAAAGGCTGAGTGCCAAAGAATTGATGCTTTCAAATTTTGGTGCTGGAGGAGACTTTTGGGAGTCCCCTCGACAGTAAAGAGATCAATCCAATCAATCCTAAAGGAAATCAACCCTGAATATTCATTGGAAAGACTGACGCTGAAGTTGAAACTCCGATACTTTGGCCCACCTGATGTGAAGACCTGACTCACTGGAAAAGACCCTGACGCTGGGAAAGATTGAAGTCGGGAGAGGGGGATGACAGAGGGTGAGATGGTTGGATGGCATCACCAACTCAATGGATAGGAGTTTGAGCAAACTCTGGGAGATAGTGAAGGACAGGCAAGCCTGGTATGCTGCAGTCCATGGGGTCGCAAAGAGTTGGACATGACTTAGCGACTGAACAACAACAGAGAGAGCAGACTAGAGATAAAGCTGCAAATGGTTAAAAAAAAGTTGCAGTCACTTATTTTTTAGCCAGGACAATGTCTGGTATTTGAGGGGTGGCAGTGTGACCTTTATTTTTTCCTGTGCTTATACAGTTGTGGTTTGTTTTGCTCTATCATGGTCTCAGAGTAGCTTTGTCTAGGAGGCTGGTATCCTTAGACTGCTTCTGTCTCATAGGAGAATAACACAGCCCAGCAGTGCTGAATCACTGTCTGATGTCAGGGGCAGGTTTCCCCTCTTCTCAGGAGAAACACTTGTTGAATTAAGAGGATATTTTGAAAGAGTTGACACCTGTAGAGAGAGCCAAGGAAGATTTGGGCAAGAACCTTAGATAGCAGCAGAGTTAGGAGAAAAACCCTTGGTCAGGCTGAGGAGCTTCAGAGGAAGGACTGACTGCCCACTAAAGAAGTCCGTGTTGGGCAGAAATAACGCGGCCCCACTAGCCCCACCGTGCCTGTCATATCCAGGAAGGGCAGGGCCTTTGAGAAAGCTGAGAAAACTCCTTCATGGCCTCCAGAGGCCCGTGACCAAACACTGAGGAATGTCAACATTTATAGGCTGGGCAGAAGACCAAAGAGGAAAGTTAAGATGTGTTAAAGACAATGAGTTCAAAAAAAGATGATAAAATGTCAAAGTGAAGCAGGTGAGAGCATGTGGAGGAGTTGGAGACTGAATGAGGGGCCGGGCAACGGAGTGGCGCTCAGGTATCACAACGGGAATGCTGAAGACGGGAGGCCAAGGACACTGAGCTGCAGGGAGTGACCTGCAGACGAGTCCCCAGCGGGTTAAACCCAGCAGAAGGCGACTGGCCTGGCCTCACGTCACTGGAGGAAAGGCTTATCTTACACAGTGTAATGGATGGAACAGGAAGGGGATAAAGATGCCCTCAAAATGTGGGTGGGTCTGTCATCCCTTGAGATAAGGTGAGAGAAATCCCAGCAGATACCTCGTTATTTTCTCCTCGAAGGAGGTGGCATTCTAGAGGGTTTTCTGTGTTTATTGACCAGCAAAATACATCACGAAAAATGAAAAAGATATTTAGTGAAATGTTATTTGACAGAGAACTTTTGAATTTAGTAAAGAAATGGTAATAACTAGTACACCATTAATTCAAAATATTTTTAGTAAGCACCAAATAGAACAGTCTCTGAACTTTTCACTAAGAACCTCTTCATTCATAGAATGTCTAAAATGTTATCTTATCGGTTGTTTTTAATCAAGAAATCTAAAGCTGCCAATCAGTTTCTGATTGGCAGAAGATGACCAGGTTAACATCCTTGAAATCAGATAATGTGATTAAAAACAACCTTTAAAAACTTTATCTATACACTCTGACTGAAGGAATTCATTGGCCTCAGGCTATGTACCATACACTTAAGCACACAAAAACAAGTACTATGTATAAAAAATAACATATGGTCCCTCTGTATTCAGAGGGGAATAATGCCTACTCTTCATGAGAACAAAGATCACTAACCCAGAGGGAGAACCAAGCAACTTCTTCTGCCAAGCTGGCAGAAGAAACAAG